GGCTGTGGGGAGAGCGGGACCCCGGGGGCATCACCCTCTATCCCAAAAGCACTGCCAGGGTCCCTCCCTGTGCCAGGGAAGCTGCTGGTCTCCGAGCAGTGCAGCTACTCCTGCCACAACTTTGCCTGGCAAAGCAGCACTGGACATGGCGACCTGCAAAGCTTGGACTGGGAAAGGGCCAGAGCTGCTGAATCCCAGGGAAGGGGCTGCCATCAGGGTGTGCAGCAGAGGTCTGAAACATCCCACTCCAGGGAGGCATTCCAGAGCCCTGGCATGCTGGGAAAACTCCTGCTCAGAGCTCTACAGGCAACCTGAGAAACCCCACAGCAAAGCCCACCACTGCCAGTGACGCTGGGAAACTGAGGCAAGAGGAGAATCCAAGGGAGGCCTCCTTCCCTCTTGGCCCTACACTGCCATGGGACATCCTTCCCCGGGCTGCACCAGCCTCTTAAAGCCAGGTGGAAGAAGGCTGGCACGGGGTCTCTCTTAGTCCCTCAGCCCAAAATCACGGGGTGGGTGTGTGCCCAGCCCTTGCTCCTCCAAGCCCTCCAGCAGCACGCACGGGGTGGGAATAGGAGCTGGTGGAGGCACTGGCAAAGGCTGGGCTTGCTGAGATCCCCTCCCGCTCCATGATTAATTGAACACAGGCTAAAATTAGCTGCGGAGGCAGCACCCCTGGGGTCTCCCAGCAGCATCCCACTGCCCGCCGGCTGCCTGCAAGTGGGTCAGGCGGCAGCTGCCTCCCAGCTGGGCACCCTGGGCACTTGGGGGACCCCCATCCTCTGCTGACTGTGGGAGCACCGCTCCCTGCTCCGTGGCTCAAGGGAAGAAGCCTCCCCACTGCTGGCTGCCCTTCTTGGAGGCTTTTGCCTCTCACCAGGCAGGGCTGCGTTATGAGGAGCAGCTGGGAAGGCACGAGGCCGCCTTTTGGGATGGCAGGAGTGCAGATCTCCGTCATCTTCCTCCCCGTGCCTTCGGGGATCTGTTATATTTAGCCTCTCTCCCTACCTCATGTTGCTGGCTCGGCTCTGGCTCTTTTCCCTCCCCTTCCCCACTGTTAATTTGTTTTCTCTGTATTATTTGCAGATTCGGGGAGGCAGAATGAGGTGTTTCGGCACAGGGGACCACTCAGCCATGGGCTCCTCATGCTGCTCTCAGCCCGGGGCTTTTTTGGTTGGGTTTTCTCCTGGCTATTTTTAACCCACATCAGCAGCTCCGAGGGGATGAAACACCAAGGGGTAACGCAAATTGGAGGCACCCTGTGGCTGATGTGCCAGGACAAGGGGGAGGATGCTCATGGCTGCGCAGGGATGCTCCCATGGAGGTAGGGCAGGGCCTGGACACGCTTCTCCCACATCTCAGGCAGGCAGGGGGCTGCACCCCCTGGGTTGGCCCCACCTGCCAAGCCCTCTGCTCCCCCCTGACTCCCTGCAGATCCGTGTCTGCAACCTCCACTGTAACACTCTGACACGCAAGCTGGGGAGAGCGGGAGGCTGGGCTTTTCCCTTGGATCCAGAAGAAAGGAAACGGGGAAAAGTTAATTAAAAACTTCAAAGCCAGATCATTCTAATTTGGTTTAACACGGCAGGCCTGCTCAGTGGCAGTGCTGTCCCGGAGGTGCCTGCATGGGGCTCGGGCTGGGAAGTGTCCAGCGTGTCACATCACGAGGTGTTCATGGGATGTCACCCACCACCAGTACCACTGCAGACCTCCATCCCTGCTGAGCACTGGGGTGTGGGGTGCAGTGGAGCTGGGCTCCAGGCTGGGCATCTGGTGAGCAACCCTCCCAGGGACTGGATTTCAGAGCCACTGGAAGGGTGACTGCATGGGGAGGCTGTGCCTCAGTTTCCCCACAGCCCAGGGATGCCAAACCTGCTTGCTGGGAAGGTGTTTTCAAGGCATTTGGGCTGGGCCTGATCCCCACCTCCTGGCGTGATACCAGTGCCCCACGTAAAGCAGGGCAGGGCTGAGGGTCCTGGGGGGTGCAGGGGGTGCCTGCCTCAACAGGCTCCAGCAAAACAGGGGGACCTCATCCTGGGGTGAGGAGGGGACCCTGGCACCTCCAGCCACTGCTCTGAAGGAGGAAGGTGACATCTTTCTTGCTTAATTCTCACTCCTTTCTCCAAAAGGAGCCAATAATCCTCTCATTTTCTCCAGAAAGCTACGTCACAGGACAGCAATGCTCCTGCCCAGGCACTCTGCTGCCTTACCCTGCCTCCTGCCCCCACTTTTGTTTTTTTTTTTTGGTGGTGGGTTGTGTGGTGGTTTTTTTTGCAGAACTTTGGGCTGCATGGTGAGTAAAGGCATCCTGCTGTCTGAGGGCTAACGGCTTGTTGGAGAGATAATAAAGCAAAGGGGAGTAAATTAAAGTGACTATAAATAGCACCAGGAGAGGAAAAGGAGATGAAGTCATCTTCCTTCAGCTGAGCTGGTATTTGCATCACTTCTTCCCTTTGCCTTCCCCTGCCCCCTCACCCTGCTCGGGAAACAGCCCTCCCTGGACTCTGGGGTTGTGCTGTGGGCTCTGTGTGCCCCCTGGGTCCCCATGGGGCTGGGCAATGTCCCCCTGGGGTGTCTGCCCAGCGCTGGGGACTTGCTGGAGAGCACAGCAAGGTGGTTCCCAGGCTTCAGCCCACCTTTGCCATGGATCTGTGGCCTTGCCCCACGCAAACCAGTGCGTGGCCCTACACAAACCACTGCCTCCAGCTTGACCCCAACACTTCATCCCATGGTCACCACAAAGAACTTTCAGGAGCCATCACAGACCCATTTTTCTGCTCGCAGCCCATCCACAGGTGGCTAAAGAGGCCCCCCAGGAGCAGTGCCTGAGGGAAGGCATTCTGCAAAGTCAACCACAGCGAACCCACCCAGAAAAGCCCCTCCAGGAACCAAATTCCATAACTGACATTTTTATTCCTGATGATTTTAACGCCCAAGACTCCACCATCAGTCCCAGGACACACGAGGGAGGAGGGATCCTGATCCTGAAGGAGCCTCCCTGGAGCTAGCAGACAGCTTCAGATCTCCTTCAAAACATGACCCTCACCACCAAGGAGGCCACTGCCCCTGCAGCCCCCCAGCAGCCCCCAAACCCCCCAGCTGCCCCCTCACACGAGGTATATTTACATCTGAGTCAGAATGAGGTCACACCGCGGTTTCCTTATGTCAGCTACCGACTCCTATTCCTGTGCTATGCGCACACACCCGCCGTGTTATTGCAGGGTATTTATAGCTGTTTTACATGTATAATTATAAAACCACAACTCCACACACGCACCAAAATAATCCCGGTGCCGGGAGGCAGGGGAGCGGGGCCAGGGTGATGGGAACGGGGCCGGGGCACGGACCCACCGCTAATAATAATTCTTTGCACTTTATATATAGCCCCTTTCATCCGCAGCTCTCAAAATCGCTTTGCAGGCATTTAATTAAGCTTCCCAACATCCTAATGTGATGACAGGCAAGTAATAATATCCTCGCTTTTAGGTACAAAGAGAGGGGAGGTGGCAGGACTTGTCTGAAGTCCCGCAGCGGGCCCAGGTGTCCCGTGTCCTGCCCCACGCCTGTGGGAGGCCCACAGGGGGGATCTTGACCCAGAAGGACCCCAGGATCCTGCCCAACCCCTCTGCTCAGTTTAGGGTGGGGACAGCTGATGACAGCACAAGGTCCAGCAAGGGCACTGGTGATCATGGGGACCGCTGAGCTGCAGCTGCCCAACATCTGGAACAGCAGGTGGAAGAGAGACATATGTATCTCAACAAACTCATGGACAAGAGCTTAGGGGAGAGCAATAAATAAGATGACAGGTCTGAAAGGGCTGATTTATGAGGAATATTAAGAGTCATAATGCTGCCTGGCCCAGCCATCCCGCAGGGAGTCAGGGTGGTGACAAGGACCCAGAGACATCACAGAGAGACAAGATTCACTGGGGCCAGTGCCAACATATCTCCAAGCAGGAGGCCTGGAAGCAGTTGTGCCTCCCAGCACTGGGAGCTCTGGGCAGGTCGGTGTGGGAGAACAGATGGGTCTCAGTGGCAGCCTGGAGATGGGATCCCCCAAGGATGGGTCTCAGTGGTCCTCAAGGTTTATGCTTTGTGCTTTCCTGAGCACCCTCTCTCCCTCCTGTGTACATCCCTGCCTGGATGGACCCCTTGCCTCCCATCCTTGAAGTGCTGCAGAAGGCACAACGGCGATGTGCTTCAGCTCTGGACACCAATGGGACATGAGACGCCACTCAGCAAGAGGGATCTGGCAAGAGAAGGTGGCCAGCAGAGCAAAAGAGCAAAGAGGTGCTGGAGGCAAACACTGGTGTTGGTAATGAAAGAGGCAGGACTGCTGCCCTGGGGTGTGAGGCTGGGTGGGCTCATTAACATCTGCAGAAAAACCCACACTCCCAGCTTCTTTCCCATGCATGGAGAGGTGGGGGACAAGTACCCATCCTTGTCACCACCTTGGGGATGCCTCATGGGGAAAAGCAGCAGTGTGTTGGTGGATGCAGTGCAATTCTGCACACATGGGAACTAAATGCAAGTCAAAAATCATAAACTCTGATTTGATCCTTTAGCAAGAACCATCTTGACGTTTTATGATCATTCTGGTATCTCTTTCCCCACAGACTGTATCCAGATCCCTGCTCACGAAAACAAGCTGCACAACAGCCCTCCACTGACAGTCCCCATGCATACCAAGCCCCCAAAATGGGGCAGCAGAACCCACTTGCACCACACTGGCACCAAAGAGCAGTGACACAGACATTAAGCAATAAAACAGCTGCAAACCTTCTGAGAGGCTGCAAAGAAATGCTCCAAAATGGTTATCTGTGAGGAGAAAAAAGGGAAGGAAATGGAACAGTTTGCCTGTCCAGGAAGTCAGCATAGCCCAGGCAGTGCCACAGGGACATGGGCACCTTCCTGCTACTGCACTGGCCACCAAAACTGCTGTCAATTCCCTGAATTTCACACCTGCTGTCCCCACTCCACCGCAAGCTGAAAATCTCTTACCAGGAGCTGCCGGCAGCTCTGCCATCTCACTGGCCATGATGAAGGACTCGAGGATCCTTGCGCGGAGCTCAGGGCTTGCCTCGGTGCTGTGGGGATAAGGAGGGGGGTCTGTGAGCACCTCAGCCTCCCTGGAGACCCCCAACTCCCCCTGGGTCAGCAGCCAGCTTCCCTGAGGGATCTCCCGTGGGACCGAGGCAACGCTGCGTATCCCAGTTCCACGTGTGCATCGCGCCCGGGCACACCGTGGGAATGGGTGTGATGCCTGAGCATCTGAGCTCCCAGATCCAGCTCCCCCTTCAGAGAACCCCGGGGCTGGGCCACTGGTGCTCTGCCATCCAGTGAAACCAGCTTGGTTGGGACCAGCTTGTCCGTGCTGGGCACCCTCCCGCCACCCGCCCCGTCCCGTGCACGGCAGGGGCACCTCACCTGGCTGCCCCCGGGCGGAGAAGAACTTCCCCAAAGAGCTCCCCGAGCAGCCGGGGCGAGGAGCGGCTCCGGTGGGTGCCCTGGCAGAGGTGGCAGAAGTGGCGGGCGAGCTGGCGCAGGAGCAGTGCCTGGGGCTGTGGCAGGGCTGGGGGGGCCAGCAGGGCTCTGGCTCGCTGGCCACATTCCTCCAGGCTTGGGGTCTCTGCAGCAGAGGGACACAGGAGGAAAACGGTCAGTTCAGGAGGTCAGGGCACCTCCCTTGCCTCTCATGTTACCCACCAGCACACATGGTGTGAGTTGTGACAGTTCTCTACTCCCCCCACAGACCCAAGAAACCCTGGCCTTAACCTCTCCCACAAAACCTGTGCAGACTCTTTCTTCCCAGCCAGGCTGTGGGACACATGGATATCCCAAGGCATGCAGAGGTGTCTTCAGGGTCTTGGCCTCCTCTCGCTGGGAGGGGGTGACATGCCCCATTTACCCACTCACACCACCCCACCATCCCAGACCAGGTTGTCAGGTGCCTTTAGCACATTCCTCCTCTCAGCACAGCCAGGGAGGGAGCATGGCGGGGCTGAGCTTCTCACATGGCAAGGGCTGCACCTAAACACCCCTCACTGCTGCTCCAGCAGAGGAGAACAGTGCGAGCCCTGCCCTGGTGCCCAGCGAAGCCATGGCAGAGGCAGAGCAAAGCAGAGGTTGGGAAATGGGCACCAGCTGGAAGATCTGCAGAATTTAAAGGCTCGGCTCTCTCCTGCAGAAAAAGCAAGCTGGGAGAGAAAAGACTTTTTAGGAGGAAAAAACCCAAATGTGCACCTGGGCTGCAGGTGTGGCTGTAGTGAGGCCCCTGCAGACCCTGCACTGTGGTCTCAAGCCCCATGAAATACAGGACAGGGAGGGCTGACTGGGGTACAGCTACTTCCAGCGATACTTGAATTGCCCACATGAATAAAATCAGGCACCCAATGGTGTTGTATATCACGGAGGTACTGGAGGTACTGCCAGAACCCCCATCACAGGTGCCCTGAGCAGCCCACAGCCTATGGCGTTCCCACCAGTGTCCTATTCCATGTCCCCAGTGCCCTCTGGCAGCCTTGGCTGGGGCTCTCCGGTCTTGTGAGCTCTGAGATCAGCGCCCTGGGATTGCAGTCTGCCCCAGGCACAGGAAACAGTCACTGTCTAGCCATCATCCATCCCTGCCTTGTCCCAGCCCTTTTTATCTGCAGGGCACAAGGAGGTCCCCAGGGCTGGGTTGCTCTCAGCTGCCTTCAAAGCCTGGCTCGGCTGGGGGCTGACTCAGCTCCATCGGCTCTTTGCTCCAGGACTGAGGCTTGGCCAGTGCCCAGCCAGCTCCCAGCATCCATCCTTGGGGCCAGGGTGCACCAGAGCTGCAGGGGTGGGGGTCTGGGATCCCCTCCAAAGCAGGTCTGCAACCCAGTTGGGATGGCAATGGGGTGTTTGTGAGTCCTCGTATCCAACAAGCTGCTCCTGAGGCATGTTTGGCTTTGCTCCAGGCCTCCCCTATCCCAATCCCTGCTTTTTTTTTGCACCTTTTTTCACCCAGAGGATCCCACAGGAGAAGGCCCACAGCCAAAGGGGGAATTTGGCGACGTTTTCCCCCTCCTTTTGCAGGTGGTCATCTTGCCGCTTTTCCAGCCCTCAGCCTCAAGCAGGGCAGAAGGAGACTTGCAGGGCAGGCTGCCAAAACCCAGCACCGTCTCCTCAAAGACTTATATTTTCTTTTTTTTTTTCTTTTAAGCCCCAGAGAAATCCCCTTTCCATTGGTTTCTCCTCCGTTCCTTCCTCCTCCTCCTCCTGCCCCTGTTGTGCCAGGAGCAGAGCCCGCTGCAGCACAGGCTGCAGGGAAAGGCGCTTCCCTTTGAAGTTGCTTAACGAGGCAACCCAGCTAATTGCTTCCTAATTGCGTTTTTATCCTTGGAAGGGAGGCAGCCTTTGATTTCTGCTCTGACGGGTGAGGGGAAGGCAGCTTCTCTGTGCCACCAGCCCCAGGGGTATTTCTTCTGGCTCCGTGTCCCAGCGCAGGGCAGGGAGGATGGGCTGTGAGTTATCCCTCGCCTCATCCGTGTGTCCCTCCTGCCTTGCTGGAGGCCACAAAGAGCCTGTGGCCTTCTCCCATCAGGACAGGGTAGGAAAAGGCCATGCTGGTCTGGGCATGGGTGATCTTTTAGTGCCTCTTAAGGCAGCCAAGAGCATGATCTGCCCAAGCACTAATCTGGCTTAGGATGGGGAGGTGATGCTTGGGGATGGAGGATACTGCAGCAACTGGCAGCGAGATGAGAGCTGCTGTGAAAGGGGAAATCCTGGTTTCACAGGCAGCAAGAAGTTCAGGTCCTGTCTAACACGGTGGGCAAGAGCTTCACGTGTGCCTGCTGATGCCCCCAGGGCCTTGGACTGGGAGGGGCTGAGCGGCTCAGTGAGGACTCATATGAAATGCATTTTGGTCCAGGCTCACTGTTGAGATGGATCATGGGCTCTGCTGGCCTGGGTAGGAGCCCTGCTCTGTTTATTTGGAAAAAAAAAAAAATCAAATAAAACCAAAACCTTAATGGTCTCATACATTTGCACAGAGGTGGAAAAGCTTGCAGGGATCTAAAGGCACTTCCTAATGGCACTAAGCTGAAAAAGCAGAGAATTTTCTGTGCCCATATAAAGCCAAGAGTTAATGAGATTACAGGAAAAAATTCCCAGGCAGCAGAGCCAAAATATTATAATAACGCTTTCTTCTGGGGCCAGCATCACCCAGCCTTGGCAGCCACCCATCCTGACAGGCAGCACCTCCCTCTCCGGGCACCGCAGCAGGAGAAGACCACGCCGTGGTGGGGGCAGAGGAGACCCCTGGGCCTCCCCTTGCTTTCCCAGATCATCTCCCAGATGCTGTGGTGCTGCTCTGGCACACGTGGTGTTCCCAGCGGTCCTTCTCAGAATCTGCCCTTAGTGCAGCACTGGGCAGGGGATCAGGTCAGAACCACCCTGGAGATGCTGGGATGCCTTTCTAGGGTTTACACAAAGCTTCTTCATCCCCACAAAGGTCCCAGGTGTGGGGGGAGCCCAGGTGTGCTTACCTTGAGCCATGTGGACCAAGTCGCTGTAGAGAGCTGGAGGGATGAGGGGCGACGGGAGCTCCTGGAGGTACCACTTCAGGGCATCTGCCAGAGTCTGGGCCTCATACAGGTCCATGTCCACAGCTGAGGCGTCTGCAGGGAAAGAGCCAGCAGGAACCATGAGCCCGTGGTCCTGCCCCTCTGGTGCAGAGCTCAGAGCTCTTCCATCCCTGTGGGCCTTCCTCCAGACACGGGGGCTGATTTCTTCGCCCATGCCCCCATCTCCCCAGTGCGGCAGCCCATGATTTCACTGCCACCACCTTCCCCCCAGCAAATACTCCTGTCCCAGTTTCCACTGACCCCGAGTTCCACGTGCCCACGGAGAGCACGAGGCAGCATCTCTGCTTTGTGCAAACTGCACATCCAGTGCATGGGGCAGGGAATCTCACCATTCCACTGGGATCCCACTGCAGGATAGCGCCCATGGGAAGGACTGAGCAGCCCCTCAAGCATCCTCCAGCCATCAGGGCCAGGTGCCATGTGCTGACCCCAGCCCAGGAGGAACTGCTCGGAAAATGCATTCATGGAATGGGGTTATGGTCCCCAGGCAATTCATGTTGCTAAAGGCCCATGCCACCCCCAGTGATCCTGAAACGCTGTGAATGTGCCCCAATTGGCATCACTTCTCCCAGTCCTGAAAGGCAGCTGCCCTGGGGAGGTGCAGATGGATGCTCCAGGAACGGGGGAAAGCACAGAGAGGGGCTGACATCACACAGCCTGGGCTCAGGACAGGGGCAAGTGCTACGAGCAGAAATGTCCCACGGTCCGGCAGGAGTCAAAGGGTGGGATGTGTCTGTCTGAGCCCCGTGGCTGGGCCAGCACGGGGACGTTGCCTCACCAGGGTCCAGGGGGAAGAGCCCTTTCAGCATCCTTTGGTATTGCCTCATGCGTTTGTCTTGGAGGTCTCTCAGCCCGCCTGGGCAGGGTGGTGGCTGTCCAGAGGACATTGGTGCCTTTTGCAAAGAACTGGAGGTTTCAAAATCTGGCTTGGATTCAAACTGGAGCCAAATGCAAGGTTTTGAAATTCTCCTTGTAGGAGAAATTGGAGGATGTCTGAGGTGGTCAGGAATAATAAAAAAAGCCCAAGATATTTGATATGGTTTGAAAAGGCTAATTTTTTTTTGAACAAAAAAGCAAATTTGGCACTTTCTTAAAGATGCTTTGTTAGGCCCCTGAGAAAACAGTGGGCTTGCCCTGCTCTGAGCCCCCTTCCCCTTGCTCCACTGGGCCTTTACCCCTAGATGCATCTTTACTGAAACTGGTGCCATTTTGGGAGATGCTCCATCTCCCAGGCCAGCATTTTGCAGCAGAAAATACTATGAGTCTCCAGCCATTTCAGCTGTGCTTGCTTCTGGGGCAATAAACCCAAAGGAGAGGAGAAATGCTATTTCCTAGGACAAGGCTTTAGAGACACATGGTCAGCAGGGCTGGGATGGGGAGCAGCTGGGAAAAGCTGTTTTTGGTCACCTTGACCTTGATCTCCTCTCGTTGGAATGTCCCCACTGTGGGCCAGGCAGCCTGGGAGCCTGCCTGCCTGCTCGGGGTCAAGAAGCCGTAGTGGGTCCCTTATGGCCAGTGCCTTCCATTTGGCTCCCAGGCCGGAGAGAAAACAGATTGACCAATGCCCGAAGTGAAGCCTTTAACCCAGCCGTGGGAGACACTACCTCATTCTCAGGAGCAAGCACCCAGCCGGCTGGGAACTGTGCCCCGGGGCAGTGTGGGGACAGCTGGGAGAGATGCCACCACGCTGGGGTGGGTATCCATCCAGCCTGGCCAGACGTGACCCAGGGCAAAGGTGGGTGCTGCCTTTCTGGCACCCCATGAAGTCACAGCATCATCCCATGGACCACTCTGCCCTTGGCATCTTTGAGGTGGGCAGGGCTGTGCCAGATGCGCCCTCACCCCGCTCTGGTCTGTGCTCATTCTGCCATTTCCCAGCCACACTTCTGGACCTTCTTGGTTGGCCAAAAGAGTAATTTCTGGCAGGGTTTGTGGGGAGTGACAGTCAGTTCCCCATTTGTACCCTGGAGAAGTGAGCTGACAGGTTGCCTTAAGCTGGGCAGGTGGAGGAGAGTGGGGTCAGGGATCCCACAAGATGCTCCAACACCTCTTTTGGGCTGAATCCCTGCAGTGCATGACTAAAACCCAGGGATGCTGCTGGTGGGTCTCAGAGCCTCGTTGCATTGCAAAGAGCTTCTCCCATCGGTGGAATGCACCGGGCAAACCCCAAAGCCCTTCTCACCCGCCACAGAGATTTCTGCAGGGACCTGTCACTTGCCTTGAGGACGATGGCGTGAATTGAGGAGAGCAGCCACAAGCTGTTCCTGTGCAGGCAAGGGGCCGCTGCCGGGCGCTGGCCCCAGGCGACCAGCCCTGGGCTCCACCGTGGCCTAATTAGCTTGTTTGCCTCGTTAGGCATGGGCCTGGGGGGGTGTTCAAAGGGAAGGCTCAGCCAGTTTCAAAGTGAGACTCAAAAACATCTTTACACCCAGAGAGAGGCGCGATGGGGAGTCCTGGGGGGAATTCACACCCCGCTGACAGGGACTGATTGCTGGTGGCACCGTTCTCTGTGACCAGAAATTGCCATTAAGCCCGTTAACCCCATCCTCCTGGAGGTGCAGTGGCATCCTCCTGCCCCAGCTCCTCTCCTCCCCCCAGGAGCTGCCATTGAGCTGGGCTCCCCCTTAGGCTGAGAACACAATCAAGGGCTGCTCCGAGCTGTTCCCCGGCACCGGCTGTGCCCCGGCAGCTCAGGGAGGCTCAGCCGGCAGCTGGGGAAGGGTTAACCCTGGAGCCTTCCCAGACAATTACCACAGGCCTGACCCCACGGATGCTGCTCTCTTCTTATCAGAGGGAGATGATAACCAGCTATAAGAAGTTAATGAAGCTGCAGGATGAGTCAATGCTCTCCCGCTGCTCTCCAGATGTTCCCGTCCTTTCCCCAGGGGAATGACGGAGGGATGACGGAGGGATTCTATCTGCCTGCCATAAATAGGAGGAAAATACCCCAAAATCCCAACCTTAACCCCATACCAACCCCCTTCAGCACACAACCTACTTGCTGATCTGCTGTCAGAGCAAGCATCTGGGGGCGAGTGGAGAGCACACCTTCCCCACGGAGGGGTGAAAAGCAGGAATAAATCTGGGAGTGGGGAAAGGGCGCACGGGATGACCACTGGCCCAGAGCGAAAGACAAAGGGTGCTCCCAGCATCCTCCCACTGGGATGCCAGAGCCCACATCCCAGCAGAGGTGGAAGGGTGCCGGGGTTTTGGGCTGAGTCAGGCTGGGCAGGAAACTCCAGGACCTCTCCCACAGCTGCAGCCGGCCAGGGAGGCGTGAGTAAGCCTGGAGTTTCAGTAAATGCGGAGGATGTTTAGCCAAGAGGTGTTGTGGAGGAGGAGGTGGGGGGTTGTTTTGGAGGGGAGGCTTGAGCAGGTCCTGGTAACCAGCTGTCCTCTGCATGTGGCCACAGGTGACGGCTGCACCGACATCCCTGGACAGTGGGTGACAGGGTGCAGACCCTGCCCAGCACCCACAGCACCCCTCCCTGCCAGGTGCAGCAGGGTGAGTCCAACAGGCAAAGCTGGACCATGGCCACCAAGTGCTGCTGCAGTGTGATGCTCTCAGGTGCACGTCCCCTGTGACAGAGGGGCACCCAAACCACCTGTACCTCGGGGCTGACTGAAATACTGACTTGGGAATTTCCCTACCCCTTCCAAATGTTTTGATTTGGATTGCCAGCAGGTGCTGGAGGGATGTCCTCGCTGTCCAGTTCTGAGGGATATGCCTTCTAATCCACATGCATAATGCTTGCCCAAGGACCTGTTCATCCCCCAGACTTGACCAGGCATTTGAGGCTCCTGGGCAATCCACAGTGGGGTTTTACTGGGGAATTGTGCTCTGAATCAGAGAGTATTTCCCAGCTTTGATTCAGCATCATTGTAATATCTCCCAGCAAGCCTGCTGCTACCTTGTGCTGGGAACTCGGCAGCTGCCAGGGCACCCCCTGCCCATGCACAGGAGCACCTGGCAGCCCCAAACACCCTCCCAGCTGGGTTTCATCTCAGCATATCCCTGGCTTGGACTGAACCAGGGCAGGGGTACTGGGTCCTCGCTTTGAGGGTGCCCAGTGAGGCTTCCTTCTCCCACCTCAGCTTCCCAAGGGCAGTTCCCTTCCTCAGTTTCCCCAGCACCCCTGGGAGGGCATGACAAAAAACTCTCACCCCATTCTCCCTGATGGGCCTGGCAGGGACGTCTCTGCCGCTGCCGTTTATTTACCCTTCTTTCATCACCACCAAATATAAGAGATGAGCTCATGCCTCTCGCCAGGCTCTGACGACACGGGGTTTATTTCCACTGCAGGTATAAATAAAAAGCAGTGCGGCAGGCACCGGGGCGCCTCGTGCTCGGGAGGAGAGTCATCCTGGTGGAGTTAATAGCTTTTGGCCGGGGGAAACCAGAGCCCTTGTGCGCCTCGAACTCTCTCTGGCATCCCGGGGATGAGGATGGGGATGCTCTCCCTCCCAGGGCATCCACACTGTGATGGAGGCGGGGGGGGAGCGGTGTGAGACTCTCCCAAGCTGCTCCTCACTTCCCGACCCTCTCTGCCTAGCAGCAGCTCCTGGCAGCCCCAGTGAAGCCCCGGGACCCACCATTGCTCGCTAATCCCCACCGAGACCTGACCTAATTCCCGGGCACGTGAGCGTGTCTCCAGGCAGACTGCTCTGCGCCGGGGCCCCAGATCAAAGCGCGCAGGATGGCAGCGCAGCCACGGCACGCCTGGAGACACCGGCTCCAATCCGCCTCGCGCAGCCGACAGATTCTCCCTGGCACCCCGAGTCGCAGGCAGCTCCTGCCTGGCCCTGACAACAGCGCAGGCTTCTCCCGGCGCTTCTCTTGTATCCGGGGAAGGGTCTCGGTGTTTACGTCTGCAGCCCAGAGCCCCGGGCAGGGGAAGGGTTATCCAAAGTGCGGGGGAGGCTCCAGCGCTTTGCCACCATCCCGGATGGGCTCAGCCCCATCTGAGCCATACAGGACACCCAGGGACCTATGGGGGGTGGCGAAGAAGGGGCTGCGGGATCTCTGTGCGCTGTCTCCAGGGAGAAGGGACGAGGATGCAGACCATCCCTCCTCAGTGGTGGCAGAGCACTGCCCAGCCATAACACACAGGACTTTGCAGCCATGCCCAAGCCAGACCTCCCCCAGCTCGGGCACTGCAGGGAGTGCTGGGTGCCAGGTGCCAGGGTAAGTGTTGCACCCTGATGCTGCTCTTTAAAGCTCTGCTTTATTCCTCTTTTTCTGCCCATTCTCTTTCCCTGCCACTGCACTGGGGTTCCTGGCTGGCTGACCACCTCCCACCCTTGGGTGAGTTCCCTCGAGTCCTCTGTGGAGCTGCAGCTTTTCCTGAAGTCCCTTTTTTGGTGCCACCGTGTGACTCTGACTCCCGTGTTCAGCGATTTCGCATGGCCCCTCTTGCCTCTCTTAATGGGCATAAGGGTCCAAATTGAACACCGAGTGTCCTAAAACAATTCACTCTCCTCCAAAGTCAGGATAAGCCATCTGTGAGCCCAACCACCCTTCGTATCCGTGCTTCACTCACCAGCCCTGGTGTCACCTGAGCCAGGTGGCAGTGAAGGCACTCAGTTCACTGACCTCCCTTCCTTGGTGAGCTCTGTCTTTGATTCCTTTTTTTTCCCACCTCTAAATAATTTTTCTTGTACCGTCCAACATGGAAGTATCAATTTTGGAGCCCGGGCTCTAGCCAGCAGTCAGATGCCACTGACCTGCAGTATGTCACCAGTGCCAGGATGGGGACAGGCTCAGCCTAGGCTGCAGAGCCATGTGGAGCCATGCTGCATCCAAGTCTGCTCTGGACAGCATTGCTGCAGCCCCATGAGGATGGGAAACCTTCATCCCAAAGCTTGGGTGATTTTCAGCTCCAGGGGTTGCCCCGTCCTTCCAGGTCCCCAAAGGGCAAGGGCTCCAAAAAGGCCCATGACATGAAAAGGGTTTGATCACAGCAACTCAGATGAGTGCCTTTGCTACCAGCCCCAGGGACACAATGCCCACTGGCTCCCCGGGGCAGCCAGGGCTGCTCTGACCTGCACAGCTCCTTGTCCCCAGAGAATCATCCTCCTCCTCCCCACTGGAAGTTCAGATACGCTTTCAGGGTAGAAAACACTCTGTCTTCCCTGACACATTAAGATTTGGGGGTTAGAAAACCAACACCTGAACTTTTCCAGCCCCTACTCCATTTTTCTTACACTCTCTAGCAGTTCTCCTGCCACCACTGCCAAACACCAGCGTGATTTGGGTATTTGCAGGGAAGCTGAAACCCCCAGTGGGACCCTGGTTTTCTCCCCAGCTGAGATGTTGTTTGGTTCCAGCCACTGCCAACCCTGGCTCCAATTTCTTCCCATTCCCCAAGATGGAGCTCAGCTTTTGCAGGTGAGCTGCTGGCAGAGATGGGACACTGGAGGGACGAGCCACCAGGAGGAAAAGAAATGTGACCCTCAGCTCTGCCTTCTCACGCGTGGGGCAAGGAAACTGCAATATTTCATCAGGGATGTTTCACTCCACCAAATGCAATAAAAAGGCTTGTATGGGAGCCAAAGCAGAGATGCTCTCCTGCCCTCCCCATCCCAATCTGGGCTCCAGCAGGATCCTGGGCAAACACCACCGGGTCTCTCCTCTGCAGGAGGCTGCAGGGAGAGCAGGCTGCCAAGCCTGGCCTCTGCTGGGATGTTTGACCCTGGCAGGAACATCATTCCCATCCTGTTTGCAGAGCATCCCTCTGGCAGGGCTGAGCATCAGCCCCTTCAGCTGAGAGCTCATAAGTGTGAGACACATCCTAACCCCTCCAGCCAGCTCTGAGGGGCTCTGGCTTTGCCTAGCTCAGCATTGCTGAGTGCACAGGGCAGCCCCCTGAAGTGCCAAATAAAAGATTTCGGTCCCAGAGGAGATGGAGGCTTGAGAGTATCAAGTCTCCCAGGGCTGTTGGTGATTTTTCAGGGCTTTGAAATGGTTTGAAGACCCCGATGGCATTTTTCTGCCTGGTGCTGGGCCCTGCAGTGGGAGATGGACAGACCTGGACAGAGCCTGAAGCTGCTCAGAGCTCCAGCCCAGGCTCTCACCAAAACAGTGGGGTTTGCCCCTGGGTAGGGAGAGTCTCCCAAGGCTGGGCAGGATTTTGGCAGTGACTGCTATGGTGCAGTGGCTCCCTGTGGGGAGCCCTGGGCCTGCCTGGAATGCTGCACCAGCCGTTTGGGAAGAATGGAGGACCCGTAACTCCTGCGTGCTCAGAAAGCAAAGCATCCTTCTCATGCTGCCCCTGCCCAGCCTAGGCACTAGTGCCCAGGGCAGCCGAGGGGATTGCTCTCGGATGCCTTCACCTCCTCCAGAGCTCAGCCATGAAATCTGGGCCAGGGGACAAGGCTGTGAAGAGGAGCACTTGCTGCTCTGGGCTTCCTGAGCCCACAGCTGGCAGAGGAGAGTGGGGTAGTGGGGTGCCCTGTACCCCCGTCAGCCCCGGGGGAGCTCAGGTCTCCTCGGGCAGTGAGGATGGAGCAGCCCCGGGAGCTCCAGCATCTCCTCTCCTGCACCACTCCTTCCCCGCTCGGCGGGACTCGGCTCCCGGTGCGCGGGAAGCGATGAGGTCATGGTGCTTAATATAGCGATTTCATCACAGCCCTTTTCCCCAGCAACACGGCCCGGCTCCCGCCGCCCCCCGGCCGGCAGCGCCCGGGATGCGGTGGGATGCGGGGCCGGCCCGGGGCTGTGCGGGGCCGCCCGTGCCTGGTGTCACAGTGCCGCCCTCTGGGCACCACGGCCGGACGATGGGGATGCTCGACGCAGCCCCCTCACCCCCCAAGTACCCAGATTTGAGCGGCACACTGGATCCATCGCGTGTCCCCCCTCCTCTTCCCCCCCGTGCCATCCTATCCCAGCCGTGGATTTAGAAGCAGGGGTGGGGAAGATGGTTTTTTCCTCCTCCCCACCCTGCTCATGCCCCAAAGTCTGGCAAACCGCTTCCCATTCTCCTAAATAGTAAGGTTTTCCTTTCCTCTTTCTTTTTCCCTATCGCACCCACAAGAGGCTTTCTGCCTGCCCTGATCCTCAGATACAAACCCCAGAGATCTGGGGGAAAAAAAAAAAAAAAAAAAGGTATTTTTCTCCCTAGAAAAAAAATTAAAAAAAAAATTAAAATAATAGAGCTTCTGGTGAAGTACCCCAGCCCTGCACCTGCACCCTCCTGGCTGCATCACACGGGGTTTTGGGGGAGTGGAGAGGGGTCCACGTGCATGTAGGGCCTCACAGAGCTGGGATTAGGGCCGTAATGGTGTTGGAGCTGTAACCCCTCCCTGCTGTGCCAGGGCAGCATCACCTCCACAGCCCCCTTCCCTCCCGGGAATGCAGGGAAAGATGCGGCTCTGGGACTTACCTGCCAGCAGGGCCTGCTTCAGCTCAGCATCCCCCAGGGCACTGGGGCCAGATCTATAGAGCACCTCGCTGTCGAGACCTGGGGGACAGGCAGGAGAGAGGGGTTAGTGCTGAGCTCCATATCCTCCTTTCCGACACAATGGAAGCAGGTAGGGACCGAGAACACCAAGCTCCCGCTCTGTGTGTGGGTACTGGGGTGAGTGGGGAGAGCTTTGGCTCTGGTGATGCTCTCGGGGCCTCTCCGAGCACGGCAGAGCCGGTGGCCGCACGTGTGCCCCCCGTGTGTGCCCTACAGAGGGATGGGCAACCCGGCTCTCCCTACCTTGTTTTTCCAGCGCCTCGATGAGCCTGGCCACGGTCGGCAGCGCCTGCTCGGGGAGGGTGGGATGCTCGGTGAGCTCTGCCTGCCCGGGGAGCCCTGTGGTGGAAAGAAGGGGAGAAGAGGTTTGGAAATTCCTGCCTGCAGGAATTCCAGTCTCTTTTCTCAGCTGCCCCATGATAGGATCAAGCTGCTGCTTTGGCAGAGCCGCAACCAATACTTTGGCTCACGCGTGGCCAATTTTGGAGCACTTCTCCCTTATTTTATCCTCTTTTTGCAGTAAGAGTCACTGTTGGGGGCTCAGCTGCTTGCTGAGATGCAAAGACATGCTCGGGCACATGCCCTGCCTGTGGGGAACATCCCATCCTGGGCATGGAGACCCTTCAGGCCAAAACCCCTTCCCCACCTCTCCTCCTGTGGCACCAGGACTGCCCTCTCTCATCACCCAGAGCCCATAGTGACACCAGGCCGGAGCTGGGAACCAGATCCATATCCACCACCAACACGGCTCTCTGCAGCTCTCACTCACTTGGATTCTTTGGTGTCTATGACAGGATTGAGCCCAGGCCCAGGCAGGACTCGCCCAGTCCTGCCTCAGCTGGCAGAGACCTCCCTCAGCCCTTGAAGAGCCCTTTGGCCAAACATGGGTCAGGCTTCCCACGGCACAAATCCCCATGTACTGCTGACTCCCGTGTTTTATACCTGGGACACCTCACCCTAGACCATGACAGAGAGGAGCAAACCCCTCAGCAGGCAGGAGAGCAGCAGTCCTTACCCCAGGGCATGTTGTATCCACCCATCCCTTTTTATCACCCCAGCTGATGAACCCTTCCTGTGTGGGTTATACCCTAGGGAGGCTCTAGCAGTGCATTTCTGGGATTTCTCCCTCTTTAGTGGCCTTTAAAGCCCCAGAAAGGCAGTGGGCAGGGCCTGGCAGGGGCTGCCACTGGCTGCAGCACATCAGAGCCATGTGCGACTGCTGCAGTACAGACATGTACATGTGGAAATGCTGGGGGAAAAAAAAATAAAGGGACTTTGGGGAGGGCCACGCTGCCTTCAGTCTTTTGCAAAAACACAGCCTGGCCACAACAGGTGGATGCAGGCTCTGATCCTCACCGCAGTGTTGCCCTGGTGCTCCCTGGAGAACAGGGAGGGATGCAAACCTCCCGCTCGTGGGTGGCTGATCCAGTCCCCAGGCACGGCTGCAACCTCAAAGCCCAGAAAAGGGGTCTCCTCTGCTGCCCAACAAGGATATGTGGGTGCCTTGTGTGGGAACAGGGAAGATTTCAGGGTTTGAAGCAAAGCACATCGTTGGGAGTTCATGTGAAAGTGTCACCACCGCATGAGTGGTTTCGTAATTAGGGAAAACTGGGCTTTTCCTCCAAACCAATGGCTTAGGGATAAGGTGGTGACTGCAGAAAAATAACTGTCTGTTCCTCCTTTCTGGGAACAACAGGAATGGCCCCAAGTGTGCCAAGCTGGACCCTGGTATCCTGACACCCTGCTTGGCTCCAGCCCCAGGTGTAGTGGAGGTGATTTCTCTTGGCAGTGGGACCACCAGGCACAACCAGTCAGGGGCAGAACAGCCACCGAGCTCCTGGGAAATCCCTTGGGACTCGGATCTGCTGCAGAGTCATCTTCAGGATGTTATTTAATTAAAAAAAATAAGACCATTTCTCCTTGCAGAGTCAGTCCTGACTTGAAGGCACAGCTGGGACATGCAGTCCCTCTGTCACTCAGAGCTTCCCCCATGGTTTCAGCCAGCTCAGGGTTCCCGTGTGGCACCAGGGCTCAGTGGGCACTGAGGGCGCTCAAGGTGGTGCTGCTGTCGCAGAAAAATAAATTAGGCCTGGCCAAAAAAAAAGATCTCTCAAACCTCCCTCTGGGAATGGAAACAGTATGGCAAGAATTTAAAAAAAAAAGAAAAAAAAGAAAAAAGAAAAGAAAAACAACAAAAAAACACAACAGAAAAACAGAAAAACAAAAGCACCTTCCCTTCCAAGATGTTAGAGATTTTTACTCTAAGGGAACTCTCACCAGCCAGGAGGTTTGGGTTTAAACTGACGTAAAATGGCACACACTGCTCCCCTGCTGCAGAAAGACGTGGTTGTGGGACACGAATGTCCCCTGCTGAAGTTCCTGAACAACCTGGCATTGCCCCCAGGAAAGGCACCCCACGGAGGGGCATCCCACAGCACAGCACAGAGGAGGCAGCACCCAGCATCCCCCTGGACAGCGGGGCTGGATGCCTGGCCGTGGCCAGAGCACGTCCTGCAGACAGCAGCACTCTCCACAACCTACCCCCAAAACCTGCTCTTAGGGATTTTTTTTTTCCCCCTATTAAAAAATACGAATTTTACATTTTAAAAATTTTGTTATCCCCTTGCCCAAGCACATGCACAGCTGGGGCTCCTGCACTGGGCCAGGCTCTCCAGGTAGATGAGTTTCCTTGACTTGTGGGGCATCACCACATCCCCAGCACCTGCGGGCTGGGGTCTCTGGGCACACGTCCCAGCCCCTTGGAGAGGAGCCCATGCCAAGCCCTGTGTGAGGCAGGCATGAGGCAGTGGTGATGGGCAGCGAGGGCAGAAGCAAGAATGCAACTTCACACTTCTCCCTGGTGAATGAGGTTGGAGACCCCCAGGGTCTGCTCCTGTCTGACGTGAGGTGTCCGTGCTACAGCACCGAGTTTTCCAGGGCTCTGCCCGCTGAACAGCCAGGGCAGAGGGCTCCTCATGCACCACTGGGCTCGACTGGGAAGGAGGCTCAAACCCCCCATCTATGTGCTCCTGCAAAGCCAGCACACAGCTGCTCATGGAGCCTCACCAGTGCTGCTGGGACTGTGGCTGCCTTGGTGCACTCAGAGCACTGGTCAGGGAGGAGGAGCACCTGCACTTTGGGGAGAGGAGGCAGAGGGGGCCCAGCATCCTTTTCAAATGGCTGGGGGGGCTCCGCATTGGGAACTGCCTGGCAACGTCACACACAGACATGGATGGTGCCGTGCTCAGCTCAGGAGCAAGGTGGTCCCCACCTCTTAAATCATGGTGGCAAGGCAGTCCTGAGCCATATTTTGAAGAGAGATGGACTCCTCATCAGTGGATGCCCTTCTAAACCTGGGACTGACACGTAACTCCAATGCCCAGCCAGCCCAGAGGGGAAGCAGGTTCTCTGGGCTGTTCTCTGGCTGTTACCACACCTGTGCCATGGTCCCAAATTAGGCAGGGAGGGTGCCCAGAGTGCTAGATCAGCAACTGGGCAGGTTCTGAGCGGTCACAGGTGAAGGTGATGCCCCTCTCCCAGCCCCAGGCCCACACAGACAGCCATTTCTCCTCCGTCACATCCTGGAGCAGGAGAGCACCGTGGCTTTGACTGGGGTTGCCAGGACACACCTGGCTGGAAGGGGGGATTCTTACTTTGCTTTTACTTTTTTTTCAGCTTGTGTACATTATGTAACCACTGTGAAACCCCTCCTGGCCCCAAGGCCCTTGGCCACGGTGAGTGGTGAGGGCAGAGCCGGCTGCACAAGCTTGGCCGAGAAATGGCCGGAGGCCCCCGTGCCAGGAAGGGTCCTCCTGAATATTTCCCCCAGTGCTGCAACCCCCAGGGATAGAGGAGCCCCTCAGGGACCAATTCCACTGCCTGCCAAGATTGTTCCCTGTCCCAGCCTGCACAAAGTGACAATGAAGCCGGGAGCTGGCCGAGGGCCAGCGCTTGCCCGGGCACTGAGAGCAGCCTGAATCAGGTGCCGCAGTGGTGGGGAGAAGACCAGTTGGAAAAAAAGTCTCTGGGGACCATCATGGGGCTTTCTGATCCTCTCCTGGGGCCCAAAGGGCTCCTGCATCTTCTCCTGTGCTCTCACAGACGTGGATCCTCTCGGACAACCCACACCAGCACAGCAGCCATCCTGGGATGCTGGTGAGGAGCAATCCCTGCAGCACGTTTGCCTGGGTGTTTGTGACACTCGGGGCATCCCCTGCCTCCCCTGAGGCTGCCTTGATGCACCAGGGCAGGTAATTCCTGGGACAGCCCCTTCTACCGCATCTGAATCCCTATCCCGAGGGTGGGTTCCCACCAAGCCACCTAAATCGCAAGCACCCACCCCGGCTCCGCACCACCCACCCTCGCCATCTTGCAGGGGACACGCACCCGTGGGCTCCCACCCTCCTGCTCCCCTGCTCGCACTCACCCCAGGGCGTGGGGGTCCCAGCGGGCGGCAGGGGCAAGGGCCGTGGCCTGGCCTTGGCGGCGGCGGTGGCGATGCGTGCGGGACCCAGGTACTCCACGTAGGTGCCGGGGAAGTCTCCGCGCTCCTTGGTGCGCTCGTTGACGCCGTGCAGCCAGCCCTGGGGGTTGCGCTCGTCCCCGTCCTTGTAGTTGGGGCTGCCGAGCAGCCCGGCCCTGCTGACCGTCAGCACATCCCCGGGGCACAGCGCCAGGTCCTCCTCACGGTCCTTCTGGTACTCGTAGAGGGCCCGGTACTGCAGCCCGTCCGAGGAGGCCATGGTGGCAGCGTGGAGTGGGTCACACCGCCCCGATCCAGCCGGGCATGGGGGGCCCGGGGTGCCCGCACAGGGCAGGGATGGCTGGGCCCGGGCAGTGCAGAGGGGTTGAGAGCGCTCCTCTCCTCACGCACGCAGGATGGAGATCTCAGCGTTGGAAGATGTCCGAGATGGAGAGCAGCTCCCGACCCTCCGACCCCAAAATTGCCGTGGAGCCGCACCAGTGCCTGGGACTCAACCAAGACTGGCTCTGGTGTGGGTAAGGAGCTGTTTCTTCACCGGGGCAAATGGAGGGGAGAGAATGAGGCTAATTGGGGTAGAGGGTACAAATGTGAGTCCTCTTCTCAGCCTGGCCTCATCCACGCGGTGCTGGGGACCTCCCTCTCTCTGCCGAGGAGAAAGGCAGCGTGTTAGCGACCAAACCGCTGTCTTGACCTCAGCCTCATGCTCTGTCCCCCCATCCCAGCCTCCCAACACCAGGGAGAGCCCAGCAGCTCGCTCAGCTCCTGCTTCCCAGGGAGCTCCCGCCAGCAGGGCTCGGCCGCTGCACGCGAGGAAAGTACCGGCAAGAGTCTGGAAAGTAGGGCAAGAGATCACGCCATGGGTTTTTAAAATAGACATATGTGCTGAGAAACCTCCTGCTGCACGCAGCTCCCCTCTGGCAGCTCCAGCCTGGCACTGCTGCACGGAGCTTGGCAGATGAAGATGTAGGATTTTCATGTGGGTTTGGTTTTTGTGTTGGTTTTTTTTTTTCTCCCCCCCTTTTTTTTTTTAATTTTTTTTAATGCATTTTTATATATTCCTCCAAGAGTGACATCATCCCTGGGGTGGGGGGGGGGGGCGGGGGGAAAGCTGGTGCCGCTGCCGACCCCGCTGCCCCCCAGCTTCCCGCAGGACCCCGCGGAAGAGGGATGGAGGGATGACGAGAAGCAGCTGCCTGTCCGTCCATCCATCCACCCGCCTCCCAGAAAGCCCTCCCGCTGCCCCTCCAGCCTTACCGGGCGCGGTGGTTCCACCGGCGGGAGCGGCGAACGGGAGCGGAGCGGAGCCGGCTCCCGGCCCCGCCGAGCCGCGCTCCGGCGGTGATGTCAGCGTCCTCCTCCTTCCTTCCTCTCCTTCGGTCGGTGCGCCTCTCTGCCGCAGCGCGGCGGGGGGCGCCCGGCTACCGAGGAGGAGGAGGGAAAATTGTAGGAGTAGGTGGATGACTTCATCCCCAGATGCAGCATCGCTGCTCCAAAACTGCATCCTCTGTAGGATGGGAGATCTCCCGTCTTGTGGGTCTCCATCCATCCTGAGGGATGCTAAAGGACAGGGGAGGACCAGCGCCCCACGGACAGCCCCCCTTGTGCCAGCCAGCTCTCCCTGAGCACCCACATATGATCCCTTCCTTTTAGCCAGGCTAGAAAAACACGCACAGGACGGGCAGGAGACGCCATGGAGAATCCCAGCCCAGGGATGCTCCGGTTCCTCGCTCTCCTCCTGAGTCTGGACAAGCTGTCCCAGTATTTGACTGTCCGTGAGGCACAGAGAGGTTGATGTGATGTTCCCAGAGGCACAAAGGCTTGCTTTTTCAATTTTTTTTTTTTTTTTTTTTTTTTTTTTTTTTTTTTTTTTAAATCCTTGCTTCTCACGCTGACTCCTCCGAAACGGTCGTGGCTCCTTGTCTTTGCTGCAGGTTGGACATCCTAAAAATAGATGGTACCTAAAACACAGGCTCCGGGAAATGCACACTGGCTGAATCCAGGCCGCTGCAGGGAGCAGCGCAGTGGGTGGCACAAAGTCCAAGGAGGAATCACAAGTGCTGGGAAAACTGAGGAAACTGAGACAGACGGGCCAGCAGAGCAACGCAGGTGTAGGGCCCTTCTCACCCATGATTTCATCAAACTCCCCCCTCCTTTCCCTGCAGCACACTGCACAGGGCAGCAGCATCCTGGGGGATTTCTCCCCAGCTGCAGCATTCAGTCCCCACTGGCCCCCTCCCCAGCTGGATCCAGCCCAGCTGCTGGTCTTTGGGGATTAAAGGGGATTTTTCTCTCCCTCGTCCCATTTCTGCTGGCACCGTGCTGCTGTTGTGGCTGCCAGGACGGAGTCGGAGTTGGTTGTGAACAGGCACACACTGCCCTCCCCCGAGCTGTGCTTCCCCACTCGTGTTCCCTGTGCCCCATCGGGGATGAAGAGGTTTTGCTGAGTGTCTAAAGCCCTGCTTGGCCTCCCCAGAGTCTCCCACTGGAGGTTGTCAAGTCAACCATGCTGATCACGGTGCCAGCGCTCAAGGGGCTGCCTGGAGAAAGGCAAGGAGGTGTTTTCCTCCTGGGAGAGGATTAGGGCTGAGGAGGCTGGTGGGTACATCACCATCCGGTATTACCACCCATCCTATCCTAGGATCAACCCTATATACAGGCCAGGAATTAACAGAGTCCTGGGGCTCTGGGGCAGGGGAACAACCTGGCATGACAACCCATCATCTCCCCTTCCCAGGATGCTGAGTGAGATCCTTCCTTCCCAGCAGCAGCAATCCTTCCCTCCTGATGTACCGCAGGGTCCCCAAACACAAAGGCACCACCTCCTGCTGGAGCCAAGTTTCACTGCCCACCACCCTGCCACTGGATGGGGCTGAGCATCACCCCAGCATTCCCTGACTCCCAGGGACCCTTAGAGCACCCCTTACACCCTATTCCAGTTGCACTGCAGCAGGATTGTTCCCAAAACTCTGCATCCTGGGCTGCCCTTCACCCTCTGTCACCCCACATGGTTAATTCAAACCCTCACCCCACTCCAGTCCAGAGCTGGGCACATCCCCCAGGGCAGGCAGAGAGCCCTCAGGGAGCACCCTGTGAAGAAGCAAAAGGTGCTTCAGCCCTTGACTGCTATTTATTGAGCCAGAGGAGCTGCCTGTCAGGCTCTGATTAACTACAGACCTGTCCTCGTTGGCTTAATGAGCAGCACTCATGGCGATGAGAGCTTTGCCTTGGCTTGCCTCGCCCTGAGTGTTCTGTGGAGTGTGCAGGAGGAGCCTTCCTTGCTCCTTGCACCCCATGGCTCCTTTCAAGCCCCCCTTTGCTCAGTATTCCCACAGCCCAGGATGGGGCTAAGGGGAGGAGAGTGATGAGTCTCCTCACTGGGGTCCCAATGCCCTGCTGTAGCCTCTCTCCTCTCCTGACCAGAGGGACAACACCTGATGGGAGCAGGGGATGCTTTGCATCCACCTTGACTGCCTGTCCTGGCCTTCCCAAAAGTCACAGGTGTCCTGCTGCTCCCCTCTGCTTTGGGAGCTGCCCAGTGTCCTCCCGTCCAGCCCTTGGCATGCTGTCCATGCTCACGCCCAGGGAAGTTATCCACTGTGAATAAATAGAGCATAAATAGAGTTGTTAACGTGCCTGGCTGGAGAATGTGAGGCTGCAGAACTGGGCTGAGCCCTTCCCAGCTGAAGAAAACAGAGAGAAAAGGTTTAGGTTTCCATTGACATTTCAGTCGGCTCTTTTAGTTTCATCTCTGTTTGCCCCCTTCAGAGAGCTCCATGCTTCTCTTTCTCTTCTCTTTCAGGAGCAGGAAAACTCCCTCGCCCTTGCTTTTCTCCCAGGGTGCCCAGGAATGAGCTCTGGCCTCTGTGGGTTCTGGTTTAGGAAGAGCTCAAGTGCTTCTTGAAACAACCTCCCAGCGTGGCACCCACGGGCAGCTGGGAGCTGTATGATTCCACAGCCGTGCTCTGCCACCACCACCAGGTTGGGGCTACCTCAGACCTGGGGAGGAAGATGCTGGAGAAAACCCAAGGAACATAAAGAAAGGCTGGGGGCGCTCCCAGGGCTCTTCCCTGAGCCATTCTGCAGGTTTGAAGCTTCACAGCACAGCAGGTGTCAGGAGCTGTCTGAATGGGTTCTGCCAGGGCATCCCAGCCCCTCAGTGCCACCTCCCTGGGCAGCGGGCACTAGCATTGCCCCGAGCTGGGTCAGGTCCTGCACCCCGACTCTGCAGTGGAAAGGGTCTCCCTGGTGGGAGAAGGCTCCATCAACCACACAGCCCCGGCCATCCTCGCAGGCGAGACAGCGGCAAAGGCTTCTCAGCCCGGCTCTCGCCTGCAGCAGCCCCCGGAGCGTCGGCGCTCAGACATGGAGTTGTCCTGATGTGACCCTGCAGCGCAGCCCTCTGCATCCCTGAACCTGCCCGGCTGGGCTTCACGGCAGCTGGCGCCTCGGCATGGCCCTCGTTAATCGATTTGGGAGGGATTTGCCGGCCTGGACACATGTGAGAAACGAGGAAATGTTATCCGGAGGGGTGCGGGCAGACAGCCAGGGCAGGGCAGGCCCCGGGGGAGTCACTGCGGGGGATACGCCCATGGGAAGAAGCTCAGCCCAGTACAAAGGCAGGAAGGTCTTCTGGAGCCCCTCTTTAATTGCGTTATTAACACACAGCTGGAGACAGCATAATGATTAACATCAGCTACGCAAGGCACAGGGCCAGATCCGTACACTGAGGGATGCACTGCTGGGACACACTTGCAGCCCCTCCCCTTATCACCTCTGTATTTACACCCTGGGTCCCACACGGCAGAGATCATGGCACCAGATGGGGCAGATCCAGTGTCTTGGACTCAAGTTGTGGTTTTGCACGTAGCCATGGAAATGGGGAGGATTCCCCTGAAACAGAAGCTGCAGCTGCAGGGACATCAGGGTGGTCCTGCTCCCCAGTCCCTCCCATGGTGGAGGAATCGGTGATTTCCCCAGTTCTGCAGCCAAAAGTCTTTGAATTTTCAAAGCTAAGAACTGAAATACGTCATTTACAAGGCATCAGAAACTTTTGGCTGCCGCAGATATTTATTTCTCTGCATCAGGAGGTGGGAAGTGATGAATTCAGCACAAATTTGCAACATTCAGTAACTTCCATCTGCAAATCCAAAGTCAGGTTCCTCTCTGGCACATTGCAGTGTGTCCATGCATCCAGACTCTCCAGGTGACTGGATGCTGGACAGACAGCTGGATAGATACTGCCAGCCCAAAATAGACACGTGAAAGCCCTTTGCAAGGGACTCACCTGGCTGAAGCTACCCAAAAATCCCGTCCATCACAGACTTGGCTGGACTCCATGGCTGGTGACGCTTGGGGGTTTCTCACTCAGTGCTTTAGCAGGAGGGAAACTAAGGCACGAGGGGGATGTCCCCTGTGCCCAGCTGAGTCCCAGTGGTTGCATTAAGCCAAGTGAGGCTGGCATAGCACCCCCCTGGGCACCTCAGTGTCAGATCGACCAGGATCGTTTGCATTTGCTAATCCACGAAGGGGCTGAGCTGCAGGGCTTGTTCAGGGCTTGTTCCTGCCCTGCTGGGTGAGAGACGGCAGTTTAGGTTTCTCCCCACTTATCCCCAAGCAGATGCTTTGTTAACCTTGCTGTCTAATTTGCTGTGGAGGGGGAGGGATGAATGCCTCCTCGGAGCACCCAGCAGCTGCCTGTGCTGCCTTGCTGAGGCCCTGGGTAGGAGGGTGCCAGTGCAGGGGAGGCTGTGCCCATTGTGTGCCTGGATGTGAACCAGAGGATGCCAAAGACCAGGTTCATCAGCAGGGTGGAAATTCAGCACTTGAGAGCTCACAAGCTGGAAGAAGGATGAGGCTGGAGCAGAGCTTGAAGCTTTCCCTCGAAGAAAAGACTAAGAAGAGGGGCTTGTTGCAGACACCATGCCTGGCTCCTACACTCCCTCAGGCATGGGCCAACACTCCCCAGCCAGGCTGGGGACAGAGAACCTCAGGGGTAGTCACTTACGGCCACTTCCTTGCTCCCAGCTTCCCAGGGCCAGGTGGCTTGGAGGAGCCTTGCTTCCCATGCCCTGGTGAGGAGACATCCCCCATGCTCCGGGGAAGGGGATCCTCAGGATGGATCAGGCTGTGTGATGGGATGGGGACAGCAGGGAGATGGTGTGGCCTTGCTGGGCAGGAGGGATGTGGAAATGTCACTGGGCTCGTCCTTGTGTGGTCAGGTCAGGCCTTCCTGGAGAGCCAGAAAATCCAGCCCTGGCTCCCTAGTGGGGTGACACTGGGGAGTGGCCAAGCCCCAGGCTGTGGCACTGGGGAGGTGAGGGGAGCAGCCTTTAAGTTGTCCCTTGGTTCTCCCTGTGGCTAGGAATGACTGGGAAGGAGAGCAAGTATCTGCATATTTGCCAAAAATTATTTTTTTTGGGGGGGGGGGGGGGCATGCAGCAAATAGGGTCAGGTTGGGATGGGGCAACTTTTGGGAGAGGGGCAATATGATGGCCTTCATTTGAATTTAGGAGCAGCAGTCCCATTTGGGAGAGGGATCCCTCACCCTGAGCAGCTTCATAGCAGCTGCTTCAGGGAAGGGCTGAGGCTGCAGGCAGTGAGGGGGAGAGGGCTAAAGCCCCCACCTGCAGCACGGGTTGCATTAATACTCAGAGTGCCTGGGAGGGTTAGAGGCTTCCCCCAAATACCACCGGGATTTGGCTGGAACCCAGCGGGGCTGACTTCATCCTGCTGAAATGTATCATTACGGCCAGGCAGGGAATGTGCTGTGGGGTTTCGGGGGAGCTGGGCGTGGGCTCCCTGCCGAGCACACAGAGAGTGGTTTCCTGCCTGCTCTTGCAGGATGAGATCTCTCTCCCCTGCCTCCTGCATCGCTCCTCGGGCTGATGACAAACTGAAGGGATGCACTGTGGGTGCTGGGGAGGGGACCAGCACAAGCTCCTGCCCCAAAGGTTCACTGGACCAGCAAGGACCTCCGCCAGGGGCAGGCCTGGGGGGGCAGCTTCCCCCCCGTGTGCTGTGTGGCTCTCCTGCAGCCCTCCTCTGTGGGAAACCAGCCCTGTTTCAAAGTGTCTTTCCAAAGAAAATCACTTTTGGCAGCCCTTAGGCGATGGCAGGTCTCTGCTGACCTGCTCCAGCGCTGGCATCTGTTACGGCTGTCGCTGTCCTCTTCTGCCACCACCCTGCTGTGTCCCCGCCGGCAAAAATCCACCTCCCCGCGCAGCAGTTGGGGACGGCCCGTACAGCTTTGGCTTTTCCTTTTTGTAAACCGGCTCGTGGAGCTGTGCCCCCCGTGCCCTCCTTTGCCCGCTTCTCTTTTCGCCCAGGGTGTTGGAGGTTTGGGTTTTGGGAGAGATCCCCGCCCGGGTGGTCCCGGAGAAGGGGGACCAGCAGCGCACCCACAGAATCAGCCTGGGCAGGTGGGATGCCGCAACCACGGGTGGCAGAGGGGGAGCTGTGACCCGAGGGGCTGAGACCTGGGGGGCTGTGACCACAGCTGGAAATTCCCAAGCACAGCTGCTGACCGCCTGCAGAGGAGGGCAGCGAGTGGTACCCCCACAGCTGCATCATCCACCACGGGTTGAAGTCCCCGCGGGGCTGATATCGTTGCCCTCTAAAGTCCCCACAGCAGGGGTCTCAGCCTCCTGCTCCGCGGGGCTCTGTCGGGTCGGGAATAAGCCGGGTCGCGGGGTGTGCGACCCCCGGGGGTTGTCAGCTCCCGGCCGCAGCGGGACGGGGGACACCAAATCGGAGGACACCAAATCCCGCCGAGGCCGCGGCGATGGGCTCGGGCAGCAGCCGTCCGGGCTGCCCGGTCCCTGCAGAGGGCAGCAAGGCACCGGGATGCCCGGGACACCCGCAGGGGGTGGCCCCGGCGGGGCCGGACGGGGCGGGGGGTCCGGCAGCGGGGGCGGCCCCGGGGCCGCGCCCGTTTAAAGGGCAGCGGCGGGAGGGTGGTGGCGGTAGAGCCGGCTGGGGAAGGTGAGGTGGTGTTGCTGCTGGGATCTGCTTTCCGTCCAGGTAGGTTGGGCTCCGTCCCTCCCTGGAGGAGAGCTGGGCCCCGCTTGCGGGAGGGCAGCGGCGGTGCCAGGGTGGGGGCTTCCTCCGGTAACCTCTCTACTCTCCTCAGGTGCAAAGATGGGGTTCTTTACCTTTATCAAGGTGATGATGATCCTCTTCAACCTGGCCATCTTTGTAAGTGCACCCCCGGGGGCTGGGGTCTGTGGGAGCGGGTCCCGGGGGGCGTCCTGAGCCGGGTGTGGGGTGGGTTCAGCCCGTCTGGCTTGTCTCTCCTGCTGCTCCGTGTTCTTTTCCGTGGGTGATGGAGCAGAGGGTATGGGGAGGTTGGTGAAGGTGGGACTTGTGCCCATGGGACCCCGCTGGTCTGGTCTCTGGCCCCAAACTGAGAGATAAAGCCCTGAGCTTGGGCGGATTTTACTCCAAAAAGGGCTGTGCTGGGCTCTGGGGACAGTGGCTGTTGCATCAGCTGCCCATGTCCTTCGCTGTGCTGAAGTTCTGTGCCCCAGAACGGGGGGGCTTGCTGGGTCCCTGCCTGGGGGGCCCCATCTCTGTGGACGAGCAGCCCAGGTGTGTGACTGTGGTCTGGGGTGTTGGGGTTCTGGAACATTGGGTACTTCCAGAGCACACGCAGGCTCTGCTCCCACCCAGGGCAGAGGGCAGTGGAGCTCCCGAGAGCCCTGGCTCTGCAGGAGCAATGGAGCCACCTGGAAGGGGGTGTGGTGGGATACGGCCTTGGGAAAGGGGGTGCAGAGCCTCCAGGCTTGCTCGGGTGAAACACACCCTTGTTCAAGCTCCTGCTAGGATTTGGGGGTGGTGGGGAAGGTCGAGTGGGCAGAGGGCAGGGCTGGGACAGGTGGGAGGCAGCCTGGAGCTGACCTTGCCCAGGAGTCTGTGAGTGTCTGGGGCGTGGAGGCTGCTCAGCTGCTCCTCCAGGTGGGTGGGCAGCTGCCCTGGGTGGCAGAGCCGGTGGCAGGGTGGTGGTGGCCAGTGTCTGCACTGGCCGTGTGGGCCCCTCAGGGGTCACGTTCCACGGGCTGGTGGCATTGCTGGCTTGGCTGCCCCGCACGAGAGCATTCTGCCCCACTGACAGCACTGAAACCCCTCGGGCTGGGGAAAGGGGCAGCTGTGACACCACACAGAGGCTGTGCTGGTGGAGGGGTGTGTTACACTGGCCACCCCCAGTGTGCAGTGACAATGCCCTGAGGTGCCCACAGTGCTACAAAGTCTTGCTTCGGTGTGGTGAAAAACTGCAGAGGGAAGAAATACCTGTGCCAGGACCTTCCCCAAAGAGCAGATCTCTTGCCTACCTGGAAGCTAACATTGCCTTTCTCCTCCCAGCTCAGTGGCGGGGCCCTCCTAGGAGTTGGCATCTGGGTCAAAGTGGATGGACAGTCATTCCTGGATATATTTGGGGCGCTCTCCTCCAGTGTCCTGCAGGTTGTGAATGTGAGCTATGTTCTCATCGTCCTTGGTGCCATCCTGCTGATCATCGGCTTCCTCGGGTGCTATGGTGCCCAGAGGGAGAGCAAATGTCTCCTGATGATGGTATGGACCTGACTTAGCCTTCTTATTAAGCCTTATTTGAGCCGGGTCTGTGGTGGGGGAGATCTGATGGACAGATTTCACTGTGGTTATGTGCACTGTGGATGTTTCCATTTCCACGAATGTGTGGTGGTCTGGGTGGATTTTGGAAAGGCAGTGCTGGACTCAAAGTCTGCCTGTGGAAAGGGTGAGAGGAGGCAGGAGGTGGTGCTGAGCAGTAGTCTCTCTTAGAGCGTGTCCAGAGAGCTCAGCCCCATGCAGAGGGAGGGCTGGAGAACCCCAAGGTTGTGCTCCTTCTGTCTTGGAGCAGAGCTGAAGGCAATGAGGCAGGAGGGCTTGAGCCCCGAGATCCTGTGGCCCTGGGGAAAGAGAGGGGTTCCTGGGGCCCCTGAGGATTCTGGCTGTGGCTTTGACCTACTTCCCCTTGCTGTATCCTTAGTTCTTCTCAGTGGTGCTCATCATCTTCATCGCTGAAGTTGCTGTTGCTGTGGTGGCTCTGGTCTACACAAGTCTTGTGAGTGGCGTGCCTGAGTCTTGGGTTGGGCGGATCTGGGATGTGTCCTACCCCTTGGGAAAACAGGAGATAGGGGATGGCAATGCTGCCTGTGGATGGGGAAGCTGAGGTGTGGGCACTGCTGCAGAAGGAAGGGATCTTGGTCACTGCTGGCACCCACTACCTGGGCAGGCTGGGGTAGCCTGGCTGGGTGGTGGGAACAGGGATTCCTGTTGTACCATAACCCTCATTTTGTTTTTAGGGCAAGTTTTGCCAAATTCTTCCTCTCAAGCCCCTCAGTCCATTACCAGCTTAGGCCTGACTCCTCTCCATCTCTGAGGGTAGGAGCTGTAGGGGAGAGGAAGTTGCTAATGCCTTATGCTGAGCAAACTCAACCCCTCATTAGGCAGCTGAGAAACCACCTGGAGAGAGAGGTGACTGCCTCATTAGGCACTAGAGAAGTGAACCGCAGGGCAAACGTCATTCCTGGCTCCCTCACTTAACACTGCTTATCAGATGACTCACTCACTGGTCGTTAAGTGACCTTGGTGCCATAAGGCACAGGTTAGTGGGGAAGGGGCCAAGCTCTCTGCAGGTCAAAGGGACATGTCAGTGTGACATAATTCTGGCCGTACTGGGTCTTACTGGTCTCCTCCCCATAGGCTGAGACTTGGTATGGGGGTGCTTGGCTCTGTGGTGCTCCCCAGGACCTTCTCTGATGGTGTTTTTCTGCCCCTTCTTCCAGGCAGAGTCGCTGCTGTCGGCTGTGGTGGCCCCTGTCCTGAAGGAGCAGTACGGGAAGGATAAGACTTTCACTACTATCTGGAATACCACCATGACAGAGGTGTGCTGAGCCCCGGGACCCTCACCTGTGGTTCAGAATCCTCCCAACACGAGCTTGGTGGTGCACACCTGGGTGGGCCACTGGGATGGGAAGGGGAACACCGTCACAATCCTGGATATGCTGAGCTGTCCCCACCTGGGAATTACCTGCTTGGGACCTAGTGGTCCCATACCTTGGGTGAGAGATGTATGTGATGGTGTGTAGGGTAAAATCCTGGTCTTGAGATGACTGTTGAGCACCCTGCCAGAGCTGGGTTGAGGTGGGTGACACCCTCCATGAGGCAGTGGGGTCCAGATTGTGTCGGAGCCTGGAGGGAGACATGAAGGATGCTTATCCCATCCCTTCCTCTCTCTCCCTCTCTTAGGTCCGTTGCTGTGGCCTGAATAACTACACAGACTTCACTGACTCTGTCTGGTATGAGAAAACTGGGAGCTACCCCCACCAGTGCTGTGGCTTTGTTAACTCGACTTCGGTGTGCAACGCCACGTTAGCCGCAGAGAGGAGCGTGACGGTACGGACACGCTGGTGGCTCTTGCCCTCTGGCAGAGCCTGTTTTGGGATGTGCCTGGGCACAGGGATGGAGATGTGTCCTGTAGCTCCAGGCCCAGCTCCAGACGTGGCAGTCCCATGGGGTTTAACTCCTGGGGCATGCTGTGGCGGCCCTGGCTTGTCCCTGAGAGAGACAAGCAAAGCTATTATAGTTGCTCTGGTCCTAAAGGGAGCAGAGTGGGATACCTGGTGCTGGGTATGAACCCAGCACCCAGAACTCTGTCTTTTGGGGTGATTTCCCTGCCTTCCCTTCTTCTGCTCACCCTCTGTCCTAATATTTGACCTAAGAAGTGGCTGAGTCGCTCCCTGAAGCCCCCAGCCCTTCTCCAAGGCTTTGTTCTCTGGGTGGGAGAAGAGTACCTCCCTTTCTGGGGATGCTGTGCCCTGGCAGTTTGGGCATTGTCCCCTCCTGGTCATCCTCACCTGTGTGGTTGCCTCCTGTAGGGTTGTTTTGACCAGATCCTGAAAGAAATCAGGACTAATGCGGGAGTGGCGGGTGGCGTGGCAGCTGGCATCGGTGCCTTGGAGGTGAGTGCCTGACCACTGCTGTGCTACCTCTTCCTTGTACCTGGAGGTGAGTGGTGGGGCTGGGACACCAGCCTCGGTGGCCGAGGGGCCTGGTGCAGCCCCGTGGAGCACCATCTGCCTGGGCACATCCAGCTCTTCCTCCTTGGTGCGCTGGGGAGGGTGGGCTGTGACTCAAACCCACGTCGGGAAGGGAGGACGCACATTTAGAGGGGCTGAACTTGCATCTTGCCACCCCCAGATTGCAGCCATGGCGGTTTCCATGTACCTGTACTGTCGGCTGGACGAGAAGTGATCCCGCGGGGCAGGAAGATGATCTGCCCCCTGCCCGTGCTGGGGTGCACCCGTGGCGTGCCATGCTCCTGGGGGGACCCCATCCCTCCCTGGGTCTCGATGCTGTCCTATGCACTGTGATTTATAGCTGTACTCTGATCTACTGAGCTGGGATCTGTAGAGTTTGTGTATATTTTTGTACTGATACGGCACACTGAGTCTGTACATAGTGACTTGGGGTGGTTTTCGAAGGAGGGGGGTTGGGGTGGGAGAAGCTGTTTTGGTCTGTTTAGCTGATGTCAGCAGGAGATAAAGCAGCACCGGGGCCATTCAGGGCTGCTGATCTGGCACTGGCACAGCAATGCCTTGTAAAACTCTTGCAGGTGGGTGCTGTACCTCTGCCACGCTGTCCCTAGTGTTCACCTGAGTGGGAGCTGGCAGGGCAGGGAGCTGGCCTATGCCCCCCTGCTTCCCTCTACTGAGGTAACTACCACCCTCTAGGTGGAAACTACACCCTCACAGGGTGAGGTATCTACCCCTGCACCCATTTTCTGTCAGTACTGACCCTGTTGCCATGTTGTCCCCTGAAAGAGGGGCTGGCTGGTCTCTGCCCCTGCCCTGGCATGAAGACAGCCCTGGTGGTCCCTGGCCCTGCAGGGGCTGGGGCTACCCCCTGTGTGCCTCGTGTCATTTCGTGGGTGAGCCCCTCTCCATGCTGTAAATGAATGCAAATAAATTTTTCATCTTGGATTAAATAAGTTATTTTCTGGAGATGATGTTGGTGCTGCCTTTAATAAATACCCTTTTTTCAGGAGGGTACAGGAGTGGGAGCTGCCTTGAGTCCCCCCCACCTTTCCTTCCAGGCCCTTGCAGGCAGCACAGCCTTGCCCTCAGGCTACCTGCCCTCCTTGCCTGCGGCTCCTCCTCTGCTCAGGTGCTTGGAAACAAGCAGCCCAGTGTTTGCACAACAGATGGGCAGTGGTGGGGGCCACCCCCAGCACTACACCCACCCTCCCTCTGCGACAGCCACTGCTTGCTCAAAGCAGCCGTTCAGGGACTGAGCAACAGCTTGGCTTGAAAGGCAGGGCTGCCTGGGGTGTTCCTGTGTCCCCATCAGCCCCAGGAACCCGAAATGGGGGAGTGAGGAGGGATGGATCCTGCCAGCCTGGTCTCTGAGCATCTCCATCCCCAGCATTGTCCCACACTGCCTGTGTGGTGCACAGGCACTCCCTCCATGTGTGGGGGGTCATGGGTGGGCTGGGGGCGTTTCCAGCCCCTCTCTTTCCCCAGCTCCTTCTCTGCCCTTGAGGATCTGCTTGCCCTGCCTCAGTTGCCCCATTTCAAAAGTGAGGCCAGGGTGGGTGGTTTGGGTGGTGGGTGTTCCCAAGGGCTGCTTCACCCTATTTTTGACGTGAGGCTCCGTGGTTGTGGGGCAGACACAGGGACAGGGGGAGGGTGGTGCTGAAGGACGGGGTGATTAGCAGTGTGTAAACAGCCTCCCCCTGCACTGCCTTGCTCCGTGCCTGCCATGGCACCCCCTTATCAGCTCCTGCACCGGGTACGGGGCTGCACAAAGGCACTGCCGTGGCCCACTGGGGTCTGGCATGTCCCTGGCACTGTCCCGCACGCTGGTGGCAGTGGGATGGGCACAGGCGCCTGTTTCCCCACCCTGAGTGACTCAGCCCTGGGGACACGGGTTTTGGCCCTGCCCCACAGCAAGGTGTGGGGGAAAGCTGCCAGGAAACAGCCCTATCCTTACTCTCTAGGTGAATTACCCAATTCCACCATAAACCCTTGTGACCTCATGGGTGATGTCAGGGCTTTTATGCCTCTTTTCCCTCTCAATGGACTTAGGAGCCATCTGGAGCCTGGCACTGCCCAAAGCCCTTCCCAGAGGTGTCGTGGTGCCCAGGAGCAGGTTGGTACAGAGCCAGGCACCTCTGGGCACACCTGGCCATGTCCTCCTCTGCTCCCTCTTAGTGGGGCTGCCTTGCAAAGAGGGCTCCTGGCACACACCCCCCCCACCATCACCCCTGTGGGTAGGAGCAGGTTTGGGGGTGGTGTCTGACCAGCTGATGGCTTCTGTCTTCCCACCTCCTCCTGGCCCTGGGGTTTCGGTGGGGCAGGACAGGCTGTTTCTGTGGCACTGAGTTTTGTCAATAGCCCTGCAACCACCGGCTTTGTTCCTTCCTTCTGCCTGCTGGGAAAACTCGAAGGACCAGTTTCTCCTCCCGGATGCAATTCCTCCCAATTGCCCTTCGAGGTTCTTGGCTGCCCTGGCAGCTGAAAGCGCAGCAGTGGAGGGTAAGCCAGACTGGCACAGCCTCCCCTGTGCCCCCACTGTACCCCTGCTCTCCACCTCCCACTGCCCAGGCACCACTGGAGCTTTTGAGCTCTCCAGAGGAGATCCCATCCCATCACCAGCCCCAGGACACAGCCCACCAACCCACATAGGTGCCACCAGGTACCCTTTACCCCTTGGACTTTGTCTGGTTCTCCCACACTGGCACCCCGGGGGTGCCTGGCAGCACCCCAGAAGCTGACAGTTGTGCCATGGAAGCACGAGGTCGAAAGGTCCCCAAGGAACACATGGCAGCAAACAGAAACTTCCTTATTGCCCCTCGGAAGACATCAGGAGATGGCCTAACACCTGCTGTATCTGGGTGCATGCCAGAGTGGGGGCTCTTCTGCTCCACCTGCAACACGGTGAGGGAGGCCAGGAAGGTAAAGTCCCCCTTGCAGGGATGTTGGGCAAGCAGTCAGCGCCCTGGGCCTGCCAGAGCACGTGCCAAACCCTGGCACTGCTCAGCACTCGGTGATTTAGGAAAGGAGCCGCCCCCTCCTTCCTGGGAATTGTCATAATGGGTACAGGTACTTGAGAGGAAGGAGGAATTGCACCTCTTTGTGTTTGTGCTGATAAAAGAAGTAAATTAAGACGCGAAAGCAAACTCAACTGGCACCAGCTACCTAAGGAGTGCCCTCTGTGGGGAATTTCCCCCGCCTGCACAACAGCCTGGCCAGGATGTTCCCGGATTAGGGAGGAGAGGACATCCTCGAAGGGCACGGACTGGCCCAGGGGAAGAAGTGAGGCAATGCACATTTTCCCTGGCATAGCCTTACTCTTTTGGTCCCCTTCTTCCTCCATGCCTCAGAGATAAACTGTCCTGGGTGCTGACCCAACACCAAGTGTGATTTTTAGGCAGCTCCCTGCCCTGATTATTTGTGGGGATATCAGAGGAGGCGATGGAAGAAGGGCTGTTCAGAAGGCAGCAGGCAGGAGCTGACATTGAACCTGGGGTGTTAATCATTAATTCTGTGCTGGGCAGGACATGGGACAATAACCATCATGGCAACAATTATGGGTACCCAGTTGAAGATTAATTCGCTGCCAGCCTTGGGTGTGGGCACAGGAGGTGGCAGCCCTGTGTCAGGAAGCGCAACGAGGAATAGGGACAGGGATGGGCTGGGTGCAGGGGAAGGATGCCCCCCTCCTGCAGCTGGGATCAAGGGGAGAAGCCAAGCAGGGTCCCTTCTTGGGAAGAGTTTGAGCACCTTGGCATTGCAGGACTTTTTATGAAGCAGAGGGTGCTGAAAATTTAGGATCAGCTCCCTGAACTGGGATGCATAGCGTCACGTCACTGACTTCCTCCCACGCAGGGAAGGGGTCAGCACACCCAGCATCCCTCTAGTGCTGAGATCTCTCCATCCTAGAGATCCTCTGGATCTGTTGTCCTGGAAGACTGGCTGGAGGGTGTTCCTTCTATCTGTGGGGCACAGAGGGACTGATGTGCCATGGGAAGGGTCAGCCTGGACCTTGTCTCCCACATACCAGCCCGTCATCGGAGCACAGGGATTCCCCGCTCCCACAGCACAGAGAGATGCCTGGCAAAAATCCATAATGCATAAAAATAAACACCACCAGAAATTATGCAAAACTCCCCACCCCCCGCAAGCTCTGGAAAGGTCAAGTTTCATGCCAAAGCTATTTTGCTTTTGTTTAATTATCAGCCAGCTCCTGGGACGTGGAGCAGCCCAGACAGGTTCTCCTTTGTAGGGCTGCACAAAGCCGGGGAGGCCGGGCTGGGGGGCTGCAGGGGGCTGGGTGACACCTGGGAACCACAGCTCGGGCAGCACGAGCTAAAGCCTGACCAGGGGTCAGGCTTCCCAGGGAGGGCAGGTGACAGGCCAGTCGCCCAGTCAGCTCCTGTGCAGCCAGGCACGCTCCAGCACCAGCGGGCTGTCCTAGGAAGGGCGTGGGACCCCAAAAAGAGGACAGGATAGGGAATGACCTGGCTTATCTAACAACCTCCAAGGGACTGAGCCCCCTGGGCAGTGAGCCTTAGCATCACCATCACCTGGGGTTGATGAGCTGAGGCTCTCCATCAGCCTGGCACAGGTGCTCCTCCTTCAAAGGGGTTAACCTGTTTCTAGCACTGTGCCCCCATTTCAGGAGGGGAGGCCCCTACGAACACAGCAGTTAGCACACACTGGCTCCTTGAGGTGGGCACGATAGGGTGGGTGTCAGACCTGAGCCCACACCACTCTGCCCTAGGGCAGACCCAGCAGCTTGATCCTCCCCTTATTTGTGGTGCCCTCGCAGCAGCTCAGCACCAAAGGGTTTGGGCAGGAGGCAGACGGGGAGGCTGCCAGGAGGTGAGAGCCCCTCCAGCATCACCAAGCCAAGACCCTGGGGCCTGGCAAAAAGCTTCTGGCAAAGGCTGTGACCCCCGAAAGCTGTGCCTGGTCCTGAGGAAGGGGTGGCAGCCCAGCCTGGTTGCAGGGATCAGGCAGGGGAGCAGGAGGCAGTCAGTCTGGGATGAAGGTTGCAGCCGGTCCATGCCAGTGGCTGACACTCTCCCACTGCCACTTCATTTGTGTCCTGTCATCTCTGCCCCCACAATGGGTACATCCCGAGTCCTCCCAAGGCCACCTGCCCCAGGATGGGAGCAGAAATCTGGAATGGCCACGAGGGTGATGAGTCACAGCTCTCAGGGGGATCAGTACCTGGAGGTGTTGAGGGAAACAAGGGGGCTGGTTACGCCAAGCAGTCACCAGGCAGCTCGTCAGAGTTTCCGTACTGAAGATTAAAGCGATAAAGCTTGAGGAGGGAACAGCTCACAAACCCGTGCCAGCCGCGCTGGCACCGCGTGGCACTGCACGGAGGACCTCTGCTGGCACAGGCCCAGGGCCACTGTTAGCCCATGGCCAGGCCTGCCCTGCACAGGGGACAGGGAGCCTGGCCCTGGCCCACACGCGAGGCCGGTGATGGAACACACGAGGCTCAACAGCTTTGCAACGTTTACTCTTGAAAAAATAATTCGATTCAGAAAGCGGCAAACCCTGACGATGCCACACACCCAGCCCTGCCACGGCTGCCACCCTGGGGCAACAGGGAGGATGGGAACAGCACCCAGCAGGCCCAGAGAGGTGTGCAGAGACCCACAGCCCCCTGGTAACTGCAGGGTTGGCACCAGAGGAACTTTTGTTTAGCCATTCCCTACCCCTAGGACCACCTTCCCCAGCCCCAAGAAGAGCTGGGAGGAAGCCAAGCCTGAGCCCTGCCAGAGAAGGGAAAAGGGGTTCATTTATTTTGAGGGGGAAGAGAAACTGGGCCTTGGGATGCTAAGGAAAGGGTAATGGTGAGCCATGGAAGTTTTTCCAAAGCAGGGCATGGGGAGCAAGCTACTTTCCCCAAAAAGAAGCCAAGTCCCTTTTCCATCACTCTGAAAAGACCTTTTACCCTGAGGGCCAGCGCAGGGGACACCTGCCCACTGGCTGCCAGACTGGAGTCCCTCTGAAGGGCAGTGCTGGGGAGGGCAGAGGAGGGCAGGGTCGAAGCCCAGACTGGTGCTGCATGCTCTGGGATGCCACCCTGCACTCTCTTGTTCCCCTCCTGTTGCCAGGGCAGGCATGCAAGGACCAGAAGGGTTGGAGTCCCTGCAGTCCCACTAGAGCTGCACTGGGATCACCTTGGCCAAAGAGATTTCTCTGGTTTGCAACTTTTCCTCCCTATTGCAGGCAAGGAAGGAAGGAAGGCAGGGAACAGAGGATGGAGCAAGGGGAACAAGGGACAAACCTTCCTCGACTGCTCCTGCACAGGCTGGGGGCTGCCAGCTCTCCATGTTGCTTTCCTGTTGTCCACCCCCTTCCCAGAAGCAATAAATAAATAAGTTAGTGTAGTGTAGACCCCGATGCTCAGTTCACAGTGAGAAAATGAAGGGGAAGAGCCCCTGTGACCTCAGGGAAAGGTCTGAGCAGCAACTCCTTCTCCCAAAGGCAAGCCAGAGCATTGCATCCCTGCCTGAGGCTGGGGTACACCGGCAGAGAAGAGATCTCCTGCTGCATGGATGAGACAGGGAGGTGTACTGAGCAAGGGGACCAGGACTGCCCACCCAGGTGTAGGGGGGGCATTAGTACCGAGTGGCTGGGAATGGGGGGGGAGCCCTGGGGTCCTTCCTAAGGCAGGGAAGGGGGGACAGGAACCTCCTCCCTCTCCCTCTGCATGAGGGCTGTACCACAGCAGGACAGCCAGGCTGCTCATCCTAGATCAGCTCACAACTTCCCTGCTAGCAACGTACCACAGTCAGGGTGGGGATTCAGGAGAAGGAATGCTCTCTGCCTTCAGCAGAAGCAGGGGATACCTGGGCAGGGAAGAGGGAGAGACAGGGTACAGTACCACAGGCAAGGTCCATGTCAGTGCAGCATCTCTTGCTCCAGAGGACCCCGGCCCATCCTGCCCCTGCAGCGAGGGGCACGGCCACTGGCTGCTCCCATCTCGCTCTGCAAGGCACTTTCACCCCCTCTCCCACGACTCGGGGGGCAGGACTGCTCCCCACAGACAATGTGGGGGAGGAGCTGCAGCACAGCCTGATCCACTTCCATCTACAGTCACCTCCAGCTTCCAGAACTGACAGCCCTCGTGCCGGCTATGGGGTGTCCCCTACGTGTATCCACAGCAGGTCCAGCTCCTCTTCAGCATTCCCTTTTTTGCCTGTGAGCTGGGCTGCACCAGTACCTGCAGCCCACGAAGCAAAGCCAGTGTGCAGGAAGTTGTCCAACCCTGCATACAATCCTCAAGGGGCATCCATCGTGCAGGTAACAGAAGAGAAGCTGGAATATCCCCTCTTCACCACCACAATCACCATGGGGCACGGAGCCAGCCAGGCAAGAGTTAATAAATACCACCCAGCTGGCAGGCTGCAGCACTTGCACCATGCCGCCTTCTCAGGACTTCGGGGCCAAAAAGGGGAGCAGAGGTGTTTGTTGAGGCCCCCTCTAGGCTCCAGTTGAGCATCTCCTTCCTCCAGCCTTGCCCAGCCAGGGGGCAAAAGGAGCAGCGTTAGTAAAGCGTCTGTGTTAAAAAACCAAAGTTCCCGGGATGGGGGTGACGTATCTACAGGGAATGACCCTGTCCTGTGCAAGGGAGAGGGAGACCATGACAGGGGGCTGGAGGGAGCCCAAGATCTCATTTTGCAGCCCAAAACAGGAGTCTGTATCCAGTCACCAGCCTCCGAGAGCTGCTGCCACCTCTGGCTCTGCACCGTGGGGGTCTCTGTCATCCCCCAGTCCCCTTCACTTCCAGCTGCCAGTCTCACGTCTGCTCTGCTGCCGCGACCGCTGGCACTGCCACCGCCCCCTCCTCCTTGGCAGGGGGCTCCATGTAGATTGGAGTCACTGATGAGGGTTTCTTGGACCTGCAGGTGAGGGAGCTGGATGGGAGCAGGCAGGGGTGGTGGTCCCTCCCTCAGGACCCCAGCATGATCTCCTTCCCACAGGGGCATCCTCCAGCCCTGGGAATGTATCCTGTCCCCCCTCCCACCACACAGACTGAGAAAGGGGGGTGGTGTCCCGCCAGGATTGGGCTGGGACAGAAGTGGATGATGCAGTGTGCCAGGCAGGGGGCAGTGCCATGAAGATGGGGGATTACTCAAATTGTTGTGTTCCCAATACTCACGAGTAGGGGGAGGCAGGGACCCCCACCACAAGGAAGTGGTTCTTCTTGCGGAAGAGCCGCCACAGCCCCTTGTGGTTCCCGCGGACGTCCAGGTCCCAGATGTGGAGGCACTGGGATGGTGGGGTGGGAGGAAGAGGCATCAGAGCCTGGGGACAGACACCAGGGCCAGGCGTCCCCTGGCATGGGAAGAGCCAGCACCCCTGCCCTCACCGAGACAGGGCAGAGAGGGCAGCACCCCCTCCAGCCACACTGAGAGCTTTAACATCACCCAGGCACAGCAAGAACACACTTGCTGAGCTGCTTTGATGCCATGGGCACCCAGGCAATGCAGAGATCAGTGCAGGCCTGAGGACAGGCCATGTCAGGGGCCTCACCTTGGCAAGCTGAGTCCAGGTGGTGAAATCTGCTTCCTGCTCCATCCTGATGAACATGACGTAGACCTTGCCCTCAGTGTCGGGCACGAAGGAGTCCTCGCAGGGATTCTTGCTGTGGTCCAAAACCTCAGCCTCACTGTGGAAACAGAACAGGGAGAGAGGGGACCTCACCTCCTCACTATTCCCATGGCAGAGTACTCCAGACAGGCACCAGGGCTACCAGGGCCACCTCCACCCTTCCTCCTGTCTCAGTGTGCCCCGTGGCCTCCCAACCTTCCTGTAGGCACTTACCCCAGGAGCCGATGAATTTCAGTCTCATAGGCGTCCTTCCTCAAGCTGTGGGAGGAGGAGAGAACATAGAGATCAGGGCAGAGTCAGACTGATAAGCAGGGAACATCCAAAATGATCCAAATTTAAGACTGCCCCAGTGTAATACTAAAGGTAAGCTGGAACCAACAAATGGAGAGCAGTGACTGCCACACATCCTGGAGATGTGGCAGCAAAAACATGACCCTTCAACATATCCACCTGCAGCACAGGGTAGCCAAATCCAACCTTGCATAAACCAGTGCCAGGATTGCCCAGCAGAGGCCAGTGTGCTGATGCAGGAGGCTATGGCTGTTCCAGAAGGAAGGGAGATAAGTCCAGCACAAGGAGATAAGGGTCAGGTCAAGCAACTGCTTCATCAAGATCTTATTCATTCTGACCAGCACTCACCTCTCCACATTTTTAAGCTGGACATTTGGAACTGTGTTGAACTTGTGCTTCTTGAAATAGGCTTCCTGGGAGGAAGAGAGAAAGGAAGGAAGGACAACAGGGTTCAATCACGAGTCAGCAGTACTTGGGGATGACCTCAAGCATCCCCACTACCTGGGAAGGTGTCTGAGTCGAAGCTCAGCACCAGGACAGGGCATGGGGACCACGGGAGGTCTCTCACGTGGAAGTAGCCGTTCATGTTGAGCCCCACGATGCCGAAGTGGTAGGAGCGGGAGATGTCAGGGATGATGCATTCCCGGCCCTTGCGCTGCTCCGGCATCCGCATCCACATGTCCCAGTCCCAGAGCTGCAGAGGGGAAACTGCCACTCACACTCATGTTTGGGGACATCGTTAGGCAGCATGGCCATTCAGGGACCTTTCTGGGTGCCCACATCAGGTCCAGCCCCTTTGGCCCCAGCCTCCCTGGGCTGTTCCAGCCAGCTCTGTGGCTGGTTATGAGCAAGCACAATGTCCCAAATCCATTCTGCTTGGGCATCCTTCCCAGTTCAAGCACAGGGATAGCCCCTCCAAGAGCTGTGCACACAGGGACTGGGTGAGGATCAGGGCCTGCTGGTGGGCAGAGATGAGGGTGCAGAAGTCAGGGTCCCTCTAGGGTACTCACCTTCTCAGGGGTTGGCCACTTTGGCTCCAGCTCATCCTTGTACAGGCTCTTCCGGAGCACCCATCCCAGGCCTGGCATGGTCTCCACACGATACAGGAGTGAGGGGTCCTCAGCTGTGTGCTCATAGCCCTGCAATGTTATGGGGAGTGTTCAGCACCTGGAATGTACCCCTACCTCACCAAAAAGGGAGGTATTGTGCTCCACTGAGGTTCTCAGTGGAGACAGAGAAGAAGGGAACAGCCAGTGGGAAGCACATGGCAGGGACAGGATGGTGATTTGCAGGGGCACTTTTCAACAGTCCAGGGCTGGGGAGACAGACCCACTTAGGATGCCCTGCCTTAAAGATGGAACCTGGACCCCAGACTGATAAGGGAACAACACAGGACAGAGGTGGCCCTGTTCCATCATCCTCCCCTGACTCACCTGGTCGTTCCAAGCTGAGATGCAGTACAGGCTCTCGTCCTCCTCCAGAAGGTGTATCGATTGGCTCAGAAAGCTGAGGAGAGAGTTGAACAGTCCCTAGTCAAACACCCTGCTACCATGCAAAACAAGGCAAACTCTCTGCCAAGGGATGAGCCACCCCACAACTGCTGGGACTGCTTGTCCCAACTGGTGGGGAGGAACACCCGAAAAGAAGCTAAACTGCTCATCAGTCTCTCCCCCTTAAGGAGAAACAGGAGTCCTGTTAGACACTGTCCTGTCCTCTTGCTATGGGGCAGCCCCAACCACGTATGCACAGAATGGATCAGTGTCCCTAAAAAGCAAATCAGGAAGAGATCCCTGACCTTGAAGTCACTTTGCACTGAGTGCCAGGACAGTGGACTCAAAACTCTATGGGCAGAACTCAGTCAGGCTGTTGCCTGGGGACTGCTCAGCCTCAGATAAGTGAGCTGCAGCATGGTAGGGATCTGGCCTCTCCTGAGCAGCCAGAGAGCTCCCAGGAAATGGTCTTCCCACACAGGAACCCACAACTTTACCTGAAGAAGTCAACGGAAATGTCAAGGTCTTCCTCCAGAACCACAGCAAATTTAGCATCCTGCAGGGCAAGGAGAACATCAGAAGGGTGGAGATGAACAGGACAGAGCAGAGACAGGCAGTGTCCCTTGCCTGTGCTGCTCCCTGCCCCTGAGAGGGGATCACAGATGCCAGGGACAGCCTGCACTGCAGTGGTCTCACTCACCGGGAACAGGTTGAAGGTTGCAGTCAGGCTGGCTTTGTAGTGCTACAAGAAAAAACATCCATTGCCTGTGTTACCATCAGCCTGGCACCGACCTGGGGCTAAGCATGCTTCCCTGGAATGCTGTCCCAGGTCTCTGGAAATAATTGTCCCAGCATTTCAAAAAAGCTCTCTCACCTGGGAAACCCTAGCATTCTTAATGCTGATGGGAGTGTGCTGTATTCCTGAGAGGCCAAACAGCTCCACAACATCCATTGGCTCCTGCAATGGAAAAGCACAAAGCTCATCAAACATGTGGGTTATTCTCCCCACAGATAGCGCAGTAAAAAAAAAAGGTAGAGCCAGGAACACCTAATAGCTGCTTAATGGCAAGACCACAATCGACTCAATTTTCTCTCACAGTTGCCAAGAAAAAGACCTTTCTGATCAAGCAGATCTGCACTGGGGTCAGAAGTAACTCATATTTGGGCTGACATATCTCTGCCCCAAGAAGGACCCACCAAGGCCTTCTCTATTCCCTTAGTGTGCATCCCACCTCCAAGCCACAAAAGAGAGGAGCTCCCACTGTACCAGTCAGTGCCAATCCCCTTTCCCTGGTATCCACCATGGCAGCAGGAGCATCCAGGCTGCCCCCTCGCAGCTGAGGGATGCTGCTCCAGTTGCCATGGCAATGGATGCTGCTATCTTTAACCACTCTGCTGTGGTACAGCAAGAGTCTGCATCAACAAACCAGCTCCCCCAGCCCCACAACGTGGCAGTGGTGGGAGAGGCCTGCGAGGGGACAAGCCTATTCCCTTCCCTGTCTCCATCACATGGCAACCAGGCAGCAACTCACCAGATGTTGCAGAGATGAGGCCTAGCAAGCTCCTGAGATCTACTAAGACCCCACATGCTGGTCCCAGAGTTCATTCCAGTGAGAGAGAGCCAGGACTTGCAATAGGATTCTCCAGAGGTTTGTAAGGTTGAGCTCAGAGGAAGGTCTTTCCCTCTAAAGGGCCAGTTCTCCTCTGCCTGGCCCCAGCTTTCATGAGCCCCCAGCTTTGAGCCTTGTGAAAACACAGTTTTGGGCCTCTCCACCTCTCACTGAGAGTGGAGCTGGACAGGCATGGTTGGACTGGTTTGTTCCTCTTCCCATGAGGGAGTTGGACAGGTGGTGTTACACCCAGACCCTGCCCAAGGGGCTGACGATGCTCATCAAGTGAGAAAAGGGGACATAACCTGCCATCCACCAAGGACTGGGCCAGAACCTCATACTCTTGTCTGGGGGACCATGGAGCTGGCTACACGGATCTCTGGGAATGCTCTCACCTCATAGTACCCGTCGATGAAGACTGTGATCATCTGTGGATTGACGCCCTGAGCCGACAGCAAGGAACGCAGCATCCTGGGGAGAGAGGGAGGGGCCTGAGAGCAGCACAGCCCCAGTGGGCACAGGCCCTTTAGCAGAGGGGTATGGATCCCTCGGGATGGGGGAAAGTGTGCATGATTAGGGGACAGGACCTATTGGCCTCAGGCTCTTTGCTTTCCCATGGCCAAGGACCCAGGGAGTTGCCCAAGCAGGTCGGCCCATGCTGCTCATGCAACCCCAGGATGAGCCTGGATCCTGCCAGCAGGAGAAAGGGAAGGGCCTGGGACATGCCTGGTCTTGTAGTGCAGAGCAGAGGAGCCCCCTGGAAGTGCTTACCTGTACAGGTAGTTGGGGCGGTTCCCTGCAATAACAGCTACAGGCACATCAAAGACTTTATTGTCTTTGAGCTGGAAGAGAACAATGAGTGTGAGTGGGGAGGGAGAGGCTATGCCAGCCACAATGATGCTATGATTTTATGTCACTGAGGGTACGTTCCAAGGGGTAGGGACCTGCTGCTAAAACAGCAGAGCTGCATAGTCCTATCCTTTAGTGCAGGACCACACCAACCAACCAGGACACCACTCAGCATTGCTTCACCCCACTTCTGCCCCAACTCCCAAATCAAGAGTTTGCATCCACTCAGAGACCTCTGTCTGAACCCTTCAGCACTGTGCCAAGGACAGCCCAAAGGCCACGATAGCTGCTCCCTCTCCAAAGCTACAAACTCTGCTGCTTACACTGATGTCCCCAGAGCAAGTGTAACCTGGGGGCTCAGGGCAAGGGAAGCCCCATTCCCCAGTATCACCTGCCCCCATGTATTCACCTTACCTTTGCCAAGGCTCTGGGCTTGCCCAGGGGCAGTTTGGACTACTCAGCTGGTGCTTAAGAGCAGGGCTCTGCAAAACACACCAGGTCCAGCCCAGCCCTCCCTCCTGGAGCTTTCCCTGAACACTCTGCCCCAGCACTCACAGGGTCAGGGTTGAACTCGATGGGTGTGGGGTCTTTGCAGCTGCAGACACTGCCATAACCTTCTACTTTGCTGCAGAACCTCTTGCGGCGCCGGTTCAGCTCCGTGTCGGGCCAGTGGCACTCAGCATCTGGAGGCACCCAGGAGCAAACACAGACCTGTCATCCTCACCCTGTGTGCTTCAGGCTGCACTACCACCCATATGGCTCTCCCTGGGCTCAGCCACCACTGAGCCCATCCTTGGTACCAGGAATAAGCAACGCTTCTGGATGTCGGACGCAAACACAGGAGACATTCAGAGCCCAACCCCACCTACAGCCTCTCTGAGCAGCAAGGGGTTGTTCAAGACCAACACTCAGAAAGGACCAGACCAGGTCTGGTTTGGAGAGGTGACAAATGTCCAGACCACAACCCCACTTCTCCATCCTCACCCTTCTCAACAATCATGCATGGAATCACCAGGAAGGCAGGCAGAAGGGAAGCTGTGCCCATTTTAAAAGTTACCATCACTGTCTCAAAGAGCCTTAAATCCATCCTGGAATTTTGCTAACAGACCCACAGTTTTGACTTAAAACCAGGCAGCAGGCAGACATCTCCCAGAGACACCACAGAGCAGACTGCACTTCCTACCTTCCACAGATGTCAGGTGAACTTCTGTCTTCAGCAGTACGGGGTCCCCCCACGTCGAGAGGGCAGGTGACTTGGCGTGCTTCTCCCCATACACTTCCCCTGGAGCAGGGACACAGGGTCAGGACTGTCTGGAAGGGCCCATCAAAGCATGACCAGGGGCTGTCAGCCTGCACATTTTGCCACTGGCCTCTGGCAAAGTGCTGAAGGAACACACTCTCCCTCCATACTCTCCCCCCACCCAGGAATGGAGCTGCTACTCTCTGTGACTTGTTCCCTGCTCATACAGTATGCTGGGGACAGGCTGGGTTTGTCTTCACCTGGCCTCTCCCAAAAAAGGAGCCACAAACCCTCTCCCAGCCTATGCAAGACTCACCTCCCTTCTTCCCCACAAATGTCCACATGTCTCTCCAGCTCAGGAATGGTGCAACTTGGCTCCCCAGGCTTTTCAGAACACTCTTGGCTGTGTCCTTGAGGTGAAAGGAGCCTTCATCCTGCAACAAAACACAACCCTGCAGCTGAGGTCTCACTCTTGACCAGGAAAGTCTTCCATCAATAACTAAGAAGTACAGGGCCCACTCCTACACCCCTTAAACCAGTTGATCCTGAAACCTTCAATGTCTCTGTGCCATTGAAGCTGCTGGTGGCTTCATCATGACCCACAGGGAGGTCAGAGATTCATGGACTCTTGTTTCCTTGAGAGACCAAAACATTCTCAAGCAGGGCCACATGTTAAACAACGCTCCACACAGCTAAACCTGGAACCCTGAAGCTGTCACAGTGCTGTCACACAGCAGCTCAGAGCCAGCACAGTCCACAGGACCCCTGTAAAGCCTGGAGCTGGGAGACAGAAGGATCTCACCACATCCTTGTATTTCCTCATGCCCATGCTCCATCTAATCCCCTGTTTATTGCTGCAGGCTCTGACACATCTGCTTTTTGCTCTCCTGCTTTGCAGGACACACAGTAGTACCTGCAGCAACACAGGAGGGCAAGAGGGCAAGGCAGGTGATCCAGACAGGGAGTCACAGCCCTGCAGGGATGTGACATTTAGCACTGGGAATGCCTGGTGACATTCAGAAGGCTACTGCCCAGATGAGCTTCAGGGCATCCTGACTCAAGATGACTTTTCCTTTTGACATGAGGGTCACGTACCTTAATGGTGAAGATCAGGATTCGGCCCCGAGCAACCATGTTGAGGAAAAGTACCATGGCTTCATCTTCATGGGGAGAGTAGGTGTCGAAGACCCTCTTGGCCATCACATGACCCTATTGGTATTCAAACATCACATGCATCTCAAATACCATATGGTACTGACACACAGAATTATGGGAATCTGTTCTGGAAGCCTCATTTCTTGAGCAACACAAGGAGTGGCTTTTCTGGTATGCCAGGGAGTTAATCCCCAGCCAAGCTCAACCCTCAGGCCCATGGGACAGCATCACCCAACCTCACAGCTCCTCCCCTGCCTGCTCCCCAGAGACAGCAGGCAGCACAAGGGAAACCCTGCAGGGACAGTCTGGGTGACCCTGTCACGCTCTGCAAACTACAGACAAAAAGCATTTGGGGACTTCCCTCCTGGCTGCCCCCAGCCTCAGGCATCCAACATCAAGAGCAGGGACAAACTGCCCAGTCAGAAAGACAAATGCAGACACGTGGAGATGCTTTACCGTGGCCTGATTTAAGACAATGACGTGGATCCCTCTTCCCTGCTCCCGAGCCTCATCTTCCAGGACCTGCAAGTGGATTAAGCGATAAGAATCATATGCCAAGACCTCTTCTTATTCCCTGCCCATTCAGCACAGCAGAGCCCCCAGACAAGGGGCAAGTCTCTCTCCTGTGACGTTTTGGCTTTCCCCATGGCAGTGGTGGGTGGCAGAGTAGAAAACGCAGGAGAATAATCTCAGAGTCCCAGAGGCAGAAAGGGGGATCCACTCCTAACCTCTTTGCCACTGAGGTGCTCTCACCACTGCTGTTTGCAGCTTCACCTGTTCAGCTCTATCCACCCTCTGCTCACAGGGACAGCACTCCCATCACTTACCGTCGTCCCATCCACAGCCACGTAGACCTTGGACCGGCTGGAATACACCTCGACATCCAGGACCTTCTTGTTGTTGACAGGGTGCCGGGGGACCTCCACGTTCAGCATCTCATCATCTACAGCAGAGAAATGCCCAGTTTCGACCGGTCAAGGCACCTCCAGTTTGCCCCTGCTCAGCCCAGCCAGGCCTCCTGAAGGTCGTGCCCACCAGGCATCCCAGCCCAAGTAAGGGGGGATGGCAGGCATGGGAAAACACAAACTGGCAATAGGTCTGACCCCACACAGATCCCTACAGCCAAATGTGCCAAAGCCTTCAGTAGAGAGACCAGGAACGGGGACAGGGTTTTCTAATAAGTTTTGTTAAACCCACAAGCACAGACCCATCTTTTACATTGTAGTTGGTCACAAATTAGCCCTGACTTAAAGAAATTACTTCCCTCCCTCCGGTTTCCTTGCTTCCAAAACACAGCAGGATGCTGCCCCTCACCGTAGTCCTGTGCAGACTCCTCTTCCTCCTCATAAGCAGCTCTCCTGGTGTCCAAGATCAGCTTGATGTTCACAATCACAGTCACAAGCAGGAAGAGGACAGCACCTGTCTGCAATGCAGGACGCTTTGTGTTAGAAATTTGTAAGTAGCAAGCCGCTTTGGCAGGGGCTGCAGGGCACCCCAAGGAGATCTTGCAGGGGATCACAATCATCTGTCAATTCCCCTGTTTTATTCTGGGGAAAGCAAAGAGAAAAAAATACAGGTGACTGAGTTTTATGGTGAAAGGCATGCAGCAGCTGGAGAGCACTGCCTTCTTGTTATGTGAGAATTAACCCGCTTCCAACATATCCCTGCTTCCAGATCTGTGAGCAGATTCCTGCCAAAATATTGCACGAAGTTTGAGGGCCCCTGCAGGCAAAGAGTTTGGTAATTAAGAGATACAGCTCCCAGGATAACCTTAACTTTTTCTGCCTCTCTTGCAGCATCACTACTCTCATCTGTCCCCCTGCAACGAGAGGATGCACTCTGGGTATTCAGAGGAGAGGAGATGCTGTGCAGCTAAAACAAACAAAGGGAAGAAGCTGAGAATACCTGGACCACAAACACCTCATGTTGGGAAATAATCTACCTTCTGCAACAGCAGGTCTGGCCACAGCCAAGAGGATGGTCTTATAGCTGCAAGCTGGCCTGGGATGCAGGATTGCAAGGTCAGACCTCAGATGAAACAAATTGTCTTCACTTGAGCCAGGGAGCTTTGTAACCCAGGGCCCAGCTGCTGCTTTGTGGTGGAAAAGTGACAGCAGCACATGGTGGCTGTGGGGCTCTGCATGGGGACAAAGGTCCTGCTCCAGGGCTGGGGAACACATCCAGCAGGCAGCCCAAAAGCTGTCCTGGACAGTCAAGCAGCGAGGGAAGGCTTTGCCACTTGGATTTCAGACATAAAGTCCTGAGCAGATGTTACCCCCAAAGTCAACACTGCTGCAGGGCTCCATCACCAGCCTCCATGCCAGAAGGGTCTGTCCAGCTCACAAGGGAGCCCCCACAGAAGCCCAAATGTGACTGCTGTGTATTGCTGATAGATTAATCCCATGGCCCAAAAGCTCTGGCCCCTTGGCCCAGCCCTGCTTTGGACATACCAGGTAAGGTTTCCAGTTTCAGCCATGCAAGCTCAGGGTCCTACCAACCTCCCTGGAGCATCCCAAGGCTCAGCAACCAAGAGAGAGGAGGGGAGAAGTTGGTGGAGTCTGCTCCTAGCCTGGTCCCCTGGCAAGCGGTGCTCAGACAGGTTTTGGGGTGGTTTTGAGACTCTTCCCTTGCCCCTCAGCCCCACAACAGCTTTCCTCCTAGAAACCTGTGCTTTTTCAGCTCTAGGACCCTTGATTCTCTGCAGTCTGGGGTGGGGTTGGGATCACACACAGGCCTGCCCTTGGTGAGAGGCACTAAAAGGATTCCTGCCCTGTCTGGCCAGCTACTGCCTCAAAACTAGGTGTTGTTCCTCTCTCTGCCGAGCAGCCAAACAGGTCCGAGGAGCAACTGGGGAAAATGGAAAGCCAGCAATAACACAACACCACGATATAAATGTCACCACGGCATTTTGGCTTGTTTAATGGGCTGTTGACTCAGGAGCACGAGCACCTTTTGGGATCTGTGCACAGAAAACTTTCAATTAGGCAAGAGCAGAGCTGTGGGCTCGCGGTGAGGCAGCAAGACCAGCTTCCCAAGCTGCCCACACCTCCCCCTGCTCAGAGCTGGGGATGTGAGGGAGCAGCCCCAGCGACCAGAGGGAATAAGGCAGCACTAAGCAAGACCAGCAGCCGAGTCTAGCAAGGCTGATGCAGTCAGAGCTGCTGATGCAGGCTCAGATGGTGCAGACCTGCCTGCCCCACACCCCAATCTCTGGGTTTACCTGTTCTAAGCCCAATTTTCATTTGTGTTTTAAGCCACAGCAGTTCCACAAAGGACAGAGGTGACAGCAGGCAGGCTCCAGCCTGGTGAGCAACATCTGCCTGAATGACCAGACCCATTCCCAAGCCTTGAGCACCCCATCAGACACAGAACTGAGCAATTTCCTTCCCCAGGGAGCCCTCCCGAGCCTTCATCCTCCCAGGTACATGCCAAACCCTCCCCTGCTCCCTCCCACAGCAACCAATTGCCAGATTTTCTGACACTCCTCTCAGGAAAGGCCCCTTTTCTGCTGTTTGCTGCCACGGGGCCAAACCCCTCCTGTCCTTACACCCCCAGACACCCTCCAGGACGCTGTCTCTGCCAAGGATTAGCACAAGCAACCAAGCCTGCAGCTTTCCCAGACGCCAGCTGCCTCTGGGGCACGAGATCCTGTTACAAAGCCCTATTTTCTCTGTCCACCTGTCATGCCCCACGCCAGGCCTGGTTTGCAAACCAAACAGGGCAAGAATGGTTTCCCTCTATGGGCTGAGCCCTGCAGCACTCTGCATGGGTCCAGAGCCAGGAGGGGAGGAAGCAGCCAGGCTTCCAGCTGAAAGACTCCCAAGGCCACCTGGATAATTGTGTCCCCTTCCCATAGCCACTCAACAGGTCCCTCTGCAGCTGAAAGGAGCTGCCAGACACAGCAGGCCCTTCCACACAGAGGCACTGGAGGGAGTAAGCTGGGGAGCAAGGTGGGGAGCAAGCCATGCTCCCCCAAGCACGTCAGGCCACCCAGGCTGCCAGCAGACCCACTTCCAGCCATGCAGCTTCTCCACAGGCTCGTAAATCCCGTGGGTTATCCCTCCTAATCCCCCCCGGGCTCCCTCCCCCTGAGGGTGACTCACCTGGCACAGCTTCCGCAGCGCGCGCTGGTTCATCAGCTTGTACTTCCAGGCCAGGTACCAGCTCCGCTTCTTGTGGGGCTTCGCGGCGGGGCTGGGCTTCCACTCCTCCATGGCGCCGGGGGCAGGGGTCAGGATGTGCGCTGCTCCGCTCCCGCGTCCATCGGGGCTCCCTGCCGAGGCGGGACGGACGCAGGGTGAGGGAGGGGACCGCCTTCAAACCCCCCTCCCCGGCACAGGCAGTGCCCACGAACTGAAACCCTCCCTGCCTGCCAGCCCTCCCACCGGGAGCGATGCGGGAGGCCGGGACTGCGGGCAGGGCAATGGGGAGCCCCCGAACGCGTGTGCCGGGGACGGCCCCTGCTCCGGGCCAACCTGGAGGATGCTGCAGTGGGCCGTGGGCCCACTTCCACACCCCGGGAAAGAAAAGCTGCCCAAAGGCACGGGCTGGCCACAGGCCCGGGGCCCGCAGGGTGTGATGGATGGAAGGGTCGCCGCTGGCCGCGTGTGCCCGTGCAGAGACACGCCCTCCCCGCGCACTCTGAGAGACAGAGCCGGCCGGAGCACAGCGTCCCCCAGCAGGGCCAGGAGCGCCAGCGACGAGCCTGGAGGCACCGGGGAGGGGGCGGCCCAGACGCTCTCGGGGTTGGGGGGGAGGACGAAGTGGCGAAGGGCACCGAGGAGGGAGAGCCGGAAGGGCGACAAGAAGAGCCCGGGGAGGGGGGGTCTGCAGCCTGTACGTGTGTGTTTGTCTGTGCGTGCCGGCCGCTCTACTCACGGTCCGCACGGGAGGCTGAGGCGGGGCCTGCTCGGGGTCCCGGCGGTGCCGCTGCCCCGCGCACCCTCCGCGCCGCTTCCGGCGCCGCACCGACACCGCGGGGGGCGTGTCCCGCCTTAGCCCCGCCCACCCGCGCGCCGCTCTGCCCGCCCCGGCGGCCCCTCGGTGGTGCGCGGGCGTGTGGAGGGCGTGGCCATCCGGAGGGGGGCGTGGCGCTGGGCGCGCCCCCGGCGGGCGGGGCGGGGCGGGGCCGCGCGCGAGCCACGGTGACAGCGCGGTGCCGCCGCCCCACCCGCGCATGGAGGGCGGCGGGGAGGCGCTGCCCGCCGACCTGCGGGACTTGGCGGGCAAGGTGGGACGGCGCCCGCCCGCCGTGCTGCTGCGGGGGCTGCGCGCCGACGCCGCCCCCGCGCCGCCCGCGCCGCCCGCGCCGGCCCGCGGAGAGCGCCCGCCGCTCGCCGAACGCCTGCGGGCGCTCCGCCTGGAGCTGGTGAGTCCCGCGGCACCGGGGTCCCCCCCCCCGGGGGCTGACCGTCCCGCCCCGGGGGTCGCCGCATCGCCCCCACGCCGGGTAGCTGGCTGCTCGCCGCCCCCGGTGACAGCCCCCTGATAGCGCCCCGCGCCATGCCGGCGTTTTGGGGAACCCTCCCTCCCCCCTTGCTCTTTGCTGCTTGACGGCCCCCAGCTCAGACCCCTTCCTCCGGGCTATCTCTGCTCCTCGGCGCACGCAGCATCCCCCGCCGGGGTCCCGCGGACACCTCCGTCCTGCCCCTTCACCCCGCGCACCGCCGGGTCGTGCTCCCGCCGTGTCCCGAGGTCGGGATTTAGGGCAGGAACCTTCGCCAAGGGCACGGTGGCGGATCTTCTCTCCCCCAGGTGTGACCCCCTGCGTGACAAGGCACGGGCATGGCTGGGAGCTTTCCCGGGGTCCAGTTCCTGCTGGGGTTTCTCGGGTGGCTCGTAAAGGGTTGTGTTGCAGCGGGACCTTTTCCCGGGGGCCTCGGGAGCGCCTTCCTCGCCTCCCTCTTTCGTGGAGGGAGCAAATACCGGCGGTGCCTGCGCCTCCGGGAAACGTGGCGAGATTGGGCAATGGGTTCAAGTGCAGCTGGAGGGAGGGACTCTCCCACGCATGAACATGCCGAGCGGGTGGGAATGAGCATCGTTTCCATAGGGAAACAGGCTAAATAAGCCCGCGTCCCTGCCTGCCCCCTACGGGGCTGGGGCACCACCCAGCCTGAGCCCTCCACTTCGCCTGATTCAGTATTCCCATCGGTGCAGGAGCTTTCATCCTCCCTCCGCTTTCATCCTCCCTCCGCGCCGCCTTCCAGGTTGCACCCTGACCGGAGGAGAAAGGTCTTCGGGCCCTGGGTTGTTCAGGGGAGGAGGAGGAGGAGGAGGAAGAGGAGAGCAGAGTGGTGTCTGCTCTGCCCCAGTGCAAGCAGGCTCAGCCCACGGCCAGCAAGTCCTGGCTTTGGCCGGGCATTATTCACCTCAGCTCAGAAAGGCTTTTCCTCGGTCTGCCCTGGCTCCTCTCAACTGCCAGTGAAGAGGTGGGGACACCTGACACCCAGGTCAGCAGCTTGGGAATGGCACCCAAAACCCAGCACAGGGCTCCCCTCATGTCCCCATCCCCATGCACAGCAACCAAAATTCCCCCCCGCCCTTCCCCCGAGCAGCAGAGACCAGCAAACACAATGCTCAGAGGATAAGCTAGCCTGGAAGTGGGCGGTGGGAGGAGAATTCCGCAAATTCCCACTCTTGCCTCCTGATCTGAGGAGGATAATTTATCCCTAGGGCTAGATGTATTGAAGGGAGAAGGTGCTTGCAGGTTTCTTAAGTGCTGAGGAGGGGAGCAGGACCACATCTGCCCCTAGAGAGTGTGAGGGGGAGTGTGACAATCCCCTGGACGACTGCCCTTGGTGGGAGGTCAGTGCAGTGAACTCCTTCAGTGCATCTGGAGGAGTACAGAGAGCAGCCTGTGCTAGGTCTCCTCCCACGATAACCTTGACTTGCTGGAGAGGGGGTTTCTTGGAGTGCAATGCGGGGCTCAGGCTGTCCTGAACTAGCAGCAAATTAGGGGCCAGCTCCTTCCAGCAAACAGTATGGAAAGCTGGGAGTGTCACCTCACCCTCTGCTTTTAGGGTGGCTCCCCTGGCATCTCTTGACAGCTGCAGTTCTGCACGAGGCAGAGAAAGATGGGGAACCCCCCCCATCAGGGGTTCCCAGCCCTCCTCCTCCCACATCGTCTCCCTGCCAAGGCCAGATGCTTTAGCAGTGCGTGCAGAAAAGTCCATTGTAGGCAGATTTTTAAATAACTTGCCTAGAAAGGAAATTTCTGCACTTGGAAGCTGGCTCCTGCCCCAATCCGGGCACATCGCTGCTATTTTTTTATTTAAATCCAGCTTGAGGGGCGTGGGGAGAGGGATGGGGCGTTGGCTTCAGGTTTTTCACAGATCTTTGACCCTCTTTTTGTGTCGTCTGGAGCGAGAGGCGTCACGTGCCGATATCCTGGCTGGAGTTTTCCCAGGCTCCTTCCTTGGATGCTTTTTGTTGCTGCTCTTGCTGTGGGGGTCTCAAGAGACCGTCGGGTCACCCGTGGGCGGGCGAGTGACTCCGAGGGTACCGGATGCTGGGGACCAGGCACTGTGCTTAAGCATTATCCCAGGAGATGGCTCGGATTTCTGTCACGGCTTGCCAATGCCGGGGACGGGATGTGTTTGTGAAGGAGTCCGTGGGCATCCACAGCTCCCAGGCTGCCCGGACCTGCCCTGCAGTGGGTTTTTCTCCCTTTCCCCCCATCGTCGCCTTATTCCCTTTCCTGGCAAAATGTTTGCGTCCGGCGCAGGGGAAATCCAGTGGCTTTTGGCGGCCAGTATCCTACAGACAGGAATGTCTTGGCACGTGGGGCTTTCCGTTAGGAAAACAGATGTTTCTTCAGCAACTGAAGTTTGCAAAGAGCTTCCCCAGGCTCGGAGGGGCAGGAGTCGGCGAGGCAAGTGCTGGGATCAGCGATGCCTGTCCTCTTCGTCCTCCCGTTTCGGGAGTGATTTGGGGGTCTCCAAATCTTGCCATGTAATACTGTCACCAGGCTTGGTTTCAGACCCTGGAAGAAGAGAAGTAACAGCATGAAGGGACCGGCCTGGGGAGGTGCTGATGGTTCAGCCAGACCCTTGCCCTGATCCATGCTTGATCCTTTTGCCCTGCCAGCAGCCTCCCAGGGCTTGGGGGATGCTCTGGGATCAGATCTGCACCCAGTACTTCCAGTTCCTTGCTTACTCCCTCTTCCCATGGGAGACAGTGACATAAGTGCCCTGGATTTATTTTCCCGGGGGGGTTGGTGGCTGGTGGGAACCTTAAGTCACTGGTTGCTGATGGTCATGTGCCAAGGTCTTGGACAGGCTCCCCTGGGGTGGTTCCCTGCAGGGTCTTCTCCCATACTGGGCTCTTCATCAAGCAGCTCAGGAGACCTGTGGCCACTGTGGTGTCACCTCTGCCAGGGTGGGTTGGGACTTGGGGCCCTTGGCCACTGGGGTCACCTCGGTCCCCTCAACCCCCCCCATGCTCTCTGTCTCCCCTCCAGGCCTACCTGCGAGCCGTGGATGTGAAGATCCTGCAGCAGCTGGTGGTGGTGAATGAGGGCATCGAGGCGGTGAAGTGGCTGCTGGAGGAGCGGAGCACGCTGACCAGCCGCTGCAGCAGCCTGGCCAGCAGCCAGTACAGCCTGGTGGAGAGCCAGGAGGCCTCGCGGCGGGGCAGCTGGGACAGCCTGCAGGACCCCAACGACAGGCTGGACAGCATCTCCGTCGGCAGCTACCTGGACACCCTGGCTGATGACATGGATGAGTATTCCCAAAACGCTGCTGAAACTGCTGCTGCTGCGTCCACATCGGGCAGAGCCCTGGCCAGGGCGGAGCAGGATTGGGTCAGGATCGACCCCGAGAGGGGTCCTGCAAAGCAAGAGAAGGGCAAAGCCGAGCACGAGTGGCCCCACGTGGACCTGTCCCCACCTGGGTTGCCCCAGGATCACCGGTTTGCTGAGGAGCCCCAGGTGGCCAACGGGTATTTGGGCCAGCAGCCCCCCTCCCTGGAACCAGGCAGAGACACCAAATCACCATCAGGGGCCGGAGAGAGGGTGGGGAAGGGGAATCTGGGTGGGAAGGCTCGGAAAGCTGAGGCTGACTTTGAGAACTGCAAACTCAACAGCAAACTGCACCTGGAGTACGATGCCCACTGGCGCTGGCTCCAGTCTCAGGACGATGTGACATTCTTATAGCCCGTGGTTTTGCCTTCCCAGTCCAGCTCTCCCAACTGCCCATTCTGCTTCACTTGTCCGTGCTTGAGAGAGTTGGAGTGGCTGGAGAGGGGGGGACAGGCTGGCTTGGTGGTGTTGCACTGTTGCTCTGATCTCCCCAGTGGTGTTTGGTGATGCAGCCGTAAGGAATGGGGTACCTGCCCTGCAGCAAATTTCTGGGAGAGGCAGGATGAGGTGGGTCCTGGTAAATTTAATCCTTTGCTCTGGGGTGGTGCTTGCAGGTGGCTGGACACTCCTCTGCTGTCCTTGATGGTGGGGGGGGGGGAACCTGGAACAGTGGGACTCCTGGGACCTCTCCCTCTAATCCTCAGCCTCTTGTCTGCAAAACCTGAGGACCCTTCCCCCAAAATGACTACACAGAGAGGACAGGAGACACTCCCACACATCTACAATGCAGTGGCACCACCACGCTCTGTGTGGGGTAGGACCATCAGCAGGGCAGCCCTGTTGGATCTGCTCATTTCCATCATCGTCTTGAAGGCCAGTGTCCATCCAGGGCAGAGCTGACCTGGAATTTGGCCCTAGCAATCTGTGGATGCTAAACCCCCTTCCCTGTGGGTGAAGCCCTGCCTGGTTTAAACACCTCTGTGAAGCCTGTCTGAAGCGGGGCTGGGCAGCCTCTGTCCGTGCCCTGCGGACGAAGGCTGACGGTGCAGACTTCCCAACGTGATGACACGAGAACGGCAAAGCTCCGGGTGGGAAATGGAGATCCAGCTCTCCCAGTTTGTTTGTGGACTGTCTCCCACCTCGGTAGCAGTCCTGCAGAGTCCCCAGGATGTGGCAGCATAC